AAACTCCAGAGTCTAACAGAAGATGCAATTATGTTGGCATCTTGAAATCAAGAAACTCACGGAAGCCGGGCGTGAAGTGTCTGCATGGAATAAATCGCCTTCAGTATTGGTTTTGAATTTGGGGTCTCTGGGACTCGACTGGTCTTCAGCGGACTCTTTCAGCACCGAGAGCACACAGGAGCTTTGTAAGAATCTGTGTGGGTTCTTCGGAGATATTGAGGACTCCGTGAACGTGGTTTGTAGATCAAAATGGACGAAAAATTGTACGAGCATGACCAATTCACGTTCTTTTGGAAAGCTAAAAATTCGTCCAGAGTTGATTATTGAAGCAGATTTTGTGACATAGTTTTGATCATGTACACTCGCAAAGCATACACAAAACCGACGTCCGGTGGTACAGTCTCCATGCATAGCGACTGTGTCATGTTCCCGTCGCCTTTAACATCCTCTTTTCGACTGGGCGATTCCGTCGGTCCATGAGTGGCCTGTCCATGGCCCTCGAGATCAGTCGTCGCCTGGACGTGGAAAGGAGTGCTCAGCAGCCCGGCCCGCTCTGGCAGCAGTCGTGACAGCATTAATTATATATATATATATATATATATATATATATATATATATATATATTTATAGTGAGGTCGTGTATCCTGGGCAAGATGGATAAGTGAGGCCGAAATGAAGCTCCTACACCCTCACCCTGGCGCGTGTCAACGCCTTAATTCCAGACCTGACCAGCCACAGAGATGGTGCTGCACTGTTTCAGCGCGGGCACGGTATACATGTGCCGTTCAATGTCCTGCGGCTCATATTCGCTCCTTTGTATCGCGTTTCTGATAATATGAAATCAGTTTCAGAGACGATCGATTTCAACAGCTCACGCCACCTGAACCACCACGCTCAAATGAGCTATTGTTTGCCGGCTTAGGACCACAACATCTTCTTTGCCGGAAAGGCACTGGACGACTTTTTGTTGGTGGTACCTGTCAAAGACATCAGCTTCCACCTGGATACATGCCAAAGTACACCAGCCGGACTGATTTGCCCCATATGTCACCTAGGGTGACTGCCCACTCAGCGCGTGTTGTGTGTACGGTGTGTGTACTGAATGGTGTGCCCACACAGTGTGTGAGACACTTGCGGCAGACGGTGTCGTCTAAATGTGGTTGCAATAAAGCATGATCAAATGCATTACCTTTTCCCCATTGAGCATTAATTTAGAAGTGTGCGCATGCCGATAAGCCATCAACTCAAATGCTCCAACAATTTTCTGTGGCGTTAGGTGTACAACGTGGTTATGTTGAGTGAGTGCGAATTGGCAGCGATTTCGATAAAAAATAACCAATTTGTTAAGGAGTTTAAAACCATTTCGTATTTCGATACGCGACATGCTCCTAGTTCGCAGCGGTTTACTGTTCGATAGAACTGGTGCGCTGTGTTTGCCTCGGATCACTGTAGGCTGCATGCTGTTTGCAAATTGCTGCTAAGCTCATTATGAATTGTTGCTAAATCACGAACAGCCGAGCACACCCTGGATTGGTGACGCCCGGCAGGGATGGTGTGACTCCCTGACACCCATCGCTGATGACACGACTCCTCAATTCGTCCTGCACGCATGGAGAGAAGAGTCATGTAGCCGATTATTTACCAATTACAACTCCTGAAATTGACGACCTGACCCCCTCATTGGACATCATGACTCCTCAAGCAAAACCAATTCTAAAGCGGACTCCCGTGAGGAGTGTCACATGCGCTCTCATGGTTATCATTTGGGGAGTCACAAGAGACTGCCCTGGGAGCGTCCTGACTCCCGACGAAGGTGCCATATGGGGAATCAAATGCAATTGAAAGACATGGTTGGGGAGTACGCACTTCCCGTAGGGGCGGACTTTTTGACATTTTGTGTAACTCCCTACAAGGGTGTCAAAACTTTTTTCAGTGTGGGGCGTGCCTCCTCTGCCCGGTGGTTAATATAAGATGGCGACCAACAGACGATTGAAAATGGTGACGCATTTAAAAGAAGCTCCTTTGAATGCTTTAGGACATTGTTCGCACGTTCAGAAGGTAGTCCGGGCGTATACGGCATGTGTGCCATTTCTAGATTTACAATAGAAACGCATCAGCGTTTTCAGACCGCGAATTGGCGTTCAAATCTGCTGGTGGAACTGGACGAGTGAAGGTCCGATGTCTATTTTCCGCGTTGCTGTAAATGTTTATCTGTTCACATGCCAATCTCAATTTGAAACAGGCGAACCATAAGCTTCGGTCCCATCTTTGAACTGCACGCAATGATTTTGAATGGCGTTAGAAAACCTCGCTTTACGACGGTCGTCCTCGCACGCCCGCCGCTCGCGCCTGGTGCTATCTGCAAGGGGCAACGCCATTCTTGTTGGCGGAAACTACAGCGTTTGCCATAGGCGTTCTTGCTCCCATGTGCCGCCCCACACCGCATTTTTCACGTAGCGCGGCGGCGCGGCGCGGCGCGACACAACAGGATGTGACCTAATGCGGCAGACCGCGACTCGACGCGGCCTGACGCACCTGTCGTCTATAGCTGTCGCGTGTTAGCCGGACGACGTCACTCACGCGGCTCGTTGCCATAGACACCGAATAGCTAAATAATTAGATATCGATGCACTTCTATCCGGGTTTTGGGTTTGCTCAACATTGCTGGCATACTGTATTATTCTTATTTTTTTGCTACGATATTGCATATTTCGTTCAACCTACATATTATAAATGTCGCCGTGAGTACCTCACATCAGCGTTTAACATGTGAGTGCCACACCAAAAGAGCGAGCGTAAACAGCGATGCACTATGTCGGTCAGACAGTATCAGTACCGAACAGCCGGCGCCGTGGCGGCCTGGGACTGAGGGTCAATTTCCAAAGTAGCGACAAACCGGTTCTGTGATTTCCATCGGCCGGGACCTCGGAATCGAAGAAGAGCCCCCTTTGTCGGCCAAGGGACCACAGTGCCTAAAAGGGGTTCCCGTGTCGACAAACGCCCGGAGTCGGCAAGGAGTCAGGGAGCAAAGGGCTTGAGTGGGCCTGAAGGGAGCGAAGAAGGCTGAAGAAACCCTTCGCAGACAGAGATCAAGGCCCCGATTGGGCTCAACCCCGGTCCCTCACCCATGAGGCCGTGACCCCAATTATTAGTAGTAAGCGCTCTTGAACCGATTGCAGACACCTTCGGCAATGCAGGCTTCTATTTCAGCCAAATCTCAACACTTAGGGGTGGACCCAGGATTTCGTCGAGGGCGAATCCATGCTTCAGTGTTGTGTCCCTGGAAGTTGGTGTCCTTCCCCCGCAAAGAAGTCCCCAGATTTCGGCCACAGTTATCAGATCCTTATCTTTTAACCGGTAAAATGTTTTCTTCTGGAATGGTCCACCGGATTTAGCCTAGGGTGCTCCTACGGGTCAATTTTCTTTTGTCTTTTATTTTGAGCTTTAATGTTTTGGGGTCGTTTGGGATGGCCCCTAAACTTTGGTGCATCTTGAAAATTGAGGTTATGTGTTCCCGAGAGGATTTCAATGTCCCTTCACCACAAGATTGTGTTCACCCTTCTGCCCAAGAGGGACTCTGGCCCGATGCACTCCCTTTCTGGATCCGCCACTGCCACCACCACCGAAAAGTCGGCTCTGAGTCGGCCTGAGCCCATTTCCCAAGCAGGGACATGTCCGAGCTCTCGAGTTGCATTGGATGGGGCCCGTGCAATTTTGATCAGCGATCTACGTTCCCAGGGTGCGCGATACCTCTGTAGATCCCATGTACAATTATGATGCATCATCTGACATCAGAAAAAGTGCACTGAAACATTAAAAGATTGATAGCGTCAGCGAATTATTCCCTATAGTCGTTTAATGCCTACTTTCTTCAATCATCGGCTTCAAAATGCAATCAGGTCCGCATCTTCCGGTACCTTTCGGCTTTCGTTTCAGCTAAATAAGGCACAAACAAAAATACAACATGAAAAATCGCACTTTTCAAGACGAGTGGGTCGTATCCGGTGATTTCTTTGAAAGTCTTTCACCATCAGGGGATCCTCTCACCATTGGGGAGCCATTCTAGGATTAAGCGGGTCGTTGACCCTCAGGGTCCTTTGAAAATATTATTCCTTCGTGCCAAGACCCTGGCTGCATCCTTGCTCTCCGCAAGATATCACTTATAGGCTATGTGACTGGAAGCCTTGGCAACTATTTTTGCAATTAACCCTTTGACAGCATAAGCGGCATTGTACAGAAATAGTGCAACCCAAAGAGCAATCATTGTGTATTAAATCTGTTGGTTCGAACCGCCGGGGTGGGGTGCGGGGGAGGGGAGCATAATGTTCCTGCCCTATAATTAACAAATATGACAATAGCTCTATCGGGGCCAGTAGACTTGTTCTCTCCACTTCCTGAAATATTCAACCACTCTTGCCATTGCTTCCCCCCCCCCCCCACTTGCCCTTCACAGACAACCAGTGGTTGCTGGTGGTCTCACAATCACCAAAGGCACAGCGCTAGTACTGGAACTCTTGGTCACTCCCTCTTTTATATTTAACACGCGCTGGAGTGTGAGTTAAATTGTTCCCCCAAGGTTTTCGCAAAATGATTTTCGAACAGCGCAACGATGCCGCGCAAAAATTAAATAGCGAATCTTTTGGTACACAGTAATTAGATGCAACTCGTACGGTCGCTGACCTGTAACAGCTTAAAGCCAGGCCGTAGATGTCAGCGAAAGCAGTTTTTGTGGAATCAAGCAATCTAATGGGGCAACATCTTGACTCGGTTCGATTCGGCCCGGTTCGGTGCGGTCCGGTGCAGTGCGGTGCGGTGCGATGTGGTGCGGTGTGGTGCAATACATTGCCCTGCGGTGCCATGCGGTGTGGTGCGGTGCGGTGTTATCACTGGAGTAACTTGTTTTTGTTTGCTTTTCAGTGACGTCATGATATATTTTAAAACACATTAAATACAAGAACACATTTCCTTATCCTTGGTACAGCGTGGTAATCGGCGCGTGCAGCAGAGCAGCGCCAATTGTGAACGTCGTATTGGTGCGGTCGGCGTTAGACATTTCGGATGAAGCCATACTGTATGGGTTTATAAACATCGTGAGTATCGTACCTCCACGGTGTAGGCCTATATAACAACACCTTTATACTAGTTGTTGCTATCGTTGTCATTGTGGTCGTTGCAGTCGTCGATTATCTGTTGGTTTAAATTGGTAGAAAGAGATCCTCTTCTGCTAGTAAGCAAATAGGGGCCCATTGGGTGCGCGACGTGCAGACTGCCAAACAGTCCCATTATGTGAGCATGTACCATGTAACCGAAACACGGGAGGAACACTGTCAGTATATCTATGTAACGAATCCAAGCATTCATAGTTAGGTGCCTGTTTTGCACCAATTTTGTCCCATAGCGCCATTGTTTCAAGACATTGTGGTGTTACCCAGTTATCATCAGGCAAAGGTAATTTTCAAAACAAATTAACACCAGAAATTGCTTGATTATGCACCACAGTCTACCTTGGCCTCAGTGTGCATGATCCTTGGGTTGAGCACAGTCATGCTGCTTAGGTATGTGGTGCAATGGTTGAGCTTTTTGCTGACTGGCACATGCCCATGCTTATGAAAATTAGACATATATTTATGTATGTGTGGCCCAATTTAACAAAACATGAGGTTAGATGTGGGTAAATACACAAGGCACATAGGACATTAGCATACCAAGACCAAGTTATGCTTTATTGAATGTTCCAAGGCACAGTAAGCTCAAACACTTTATTGGAATGAACACCCTTGCATGAATTTATGTTTCATGTCTGATGCAATGCATTTTTTCCAATAAGCTTATGATTGCATTTTCACTGATCAATGCTCAGTCAATGTATTTTCTGGTCAGTTAAAACCATCTTGTTGCATACATGGTCCTCCTTACAATTCAGGCTGGTGTATCTTGTGGCATGCAAAATATAAAAAAATTGGCTTGCAGGATGGCAGCAGTAACCAGCATGGAATGGTTCCAAAGTTGCATGCCACAGTGTCTTATGTCCAAGAACTGAGCCCTGTCTTGGTTCTTGGACATATATTGTATGGTATATCTCTAAATACCATGCAAAGTGAGGTGGATTACAACCTTTAAGTTTGCAGAAAGTCTGAAGGTGAAGGTTACAGTTTGAAAGAAAACAAAAGTGGTGATAGCCTGCTGTAGGCTGATTAAGGCCCAGTAAATAGGTGATTGGTTAAAACTTTGTGGTGTTCATAGGGCTTACTTATTAAGCTGAGAGATTATAACTCTTTTTAGCTTTTTAAATGGTGTGAAGCAATTTTAAAAAATAGGAGTACCACTTTATGTGCAGGTAGAGAGCATACAAGAAAGCATGTGATATTAGTGTTCCAAAGTCATAGAGTGTTCCACATTTGTATTGGTTTTTTGGCTGAGATAAACATTTTGAAGATCATTCAGTGCAGCTCTCAGCCTTGCCTTTTTTGAGGCTCAAAACCCTGTTGTTTCTTAGCTTGATACTTGCATACTTAAGCAAACTCTTCCATGCAAACTTTCAAGGTCACCAAGGTATGCATGGCAAATGGGGATCAATTTCTCAAAATGACTAGGAGGGGGTGCCAGAGTCTTGGAAGTCGCCATAGGGGCCGTGTACGGAAAACTTCTCTGACAGTTCACTTATGGTGTGGATTTTACAACATATATGCTGCTCACCATTAAAGTGGAGTCAAAAAGGCCTCCACCGAAAGTAAATCTTCCTCGCGGGCACAAGATCTAACTGCATCTGCGGAAGCCTTCTCCCTGGCCTTGAGCACCTTGTGGCCGGTGGGTGGCAGAATCCGAGTGGCATTGCTGCGAGAGAGAGCAAGACTTCCGTTGATGCAGCCAGATCTAGTGCCAGCGACGAAAATTTACGTTCAGTGGAGGACTTTCGACTCCCATTTTATGGTGAGCAGGTCTTAAGTATGAAGCTTTTTAAATAGTTCAGAGCCCTTTCGACCAGAAATGATCATTTCAGGGCTATGGGTTGAAGGAAAATGACTAACGGTTGGGCGGACTTGCATGCGCCTGGGGGCGAGGAGAGGCAACTACCGGGTCTAGACCCGCGCATGCGCGCTGGTTACATGGTCGAGGTCCCCACCCCAGGGGCCTCTCGGCCCGCTTGTGGCTGACGCATGCAGGCTGCCCCGGACAACCGGAATATCGCGAGGATGCGGGGTGAAGGGAGATAGAGAACACAATGGTCAGATGAACTATGGAGCTTGAATCATTTTGTACCACGTAATGTGAAAAGTTGGTAATGGTTGCTAGTTACTACGGAAATGAGACTTGTAGTCGAAGAACGTAAGGATTGCGCCATAATCAAGCACGTGAATGCGAGTTAATTTCTTGAACTCACGGATAGCTTTGCAAGAACACTACGAGAAACGGCAAAGCATGGGCACAACAATATTTAGCTCAGCGAGTACTTTCAGCGCCGTCACTACCACCTCGCGGCGAGTTGAATTACTATACGTGAGTGCTTGGGTGACATTCTCGCACGGCCTGTTTCACAGCACCTCATCGTCATACAAACGTACCATGACGCAGTCAAGCGACGTTCCCAGTAACCATTCATGTGACCAACAAAAGCGCACCTGCGGCATGTGTACATGACTAAGTGTTGACAGCTAAAATGGCGGATAAACGCGTACAAATAGGATGGATGACATGTGCAGTTGTTTTGCGAACACAAAATGCGTGCTAGCCTCGGTTTTCAGTGATTTCTTGTTTAAAGTTTTACACCTTCATGTGGAATGGTGCTCACGCCTCTAATGAGTGATGGTGGAATGCCAGGTGTCAGTGGGATTTTGAATTTATCTTAAAATTACTTGTAGATGAGACTTTGACTGATGCTAGGAGTCTTGTTCCTCCTAGAATAGCGGAAGGAATGAGAGATATATGTATTTATATTTCGTCTACATGCCTGTTTCGATCGAGGTATGTAGCCGAAATATCAATGAATCCATGTCCTGATGCTCTTGATGAAGAATAAGGCTATTAGTACTGTCTTATTTATATGCATAATGTTCCTGGCAATATATATTTATCACCTTACGACCTTCAAATAGCTTCATTTTTTATCCGCAGCTTTTCTTTATTGCTCTCTCACAGAAGCATGGTAAAAGAATAGAAGCAAAGGCGGTGAAATTGGCCTATCTGTTTTTTCCTTGTAAGCAACCGTGAATGGTGCAAATGGACGTGATCCGAAGCTGTCGTACTGTAACGTACGTCGCGTAAAACCGCGCGCCAAAAACTGCTAGAGGCAAAATTATCTGATGGCATGAATACACGTGAAAGCCTTTGCTTACATAGTGCTTTGAACCCAAAGCCACCTGTGCATAACATTTAAAGGGTGCGTTCGTCGGTGGGAAGGTTAACCAACTGATGATTATCTCTCCGATAATCATCCACGAAGATTCTCCAATAGCGTCCAGCAGGTCGGGAAATTACCCGCCAGATTCGTCTCCCATGCGTTATGCAGAGTCGACGGTCATAGCTATGCGAAGAGAAAACAATATTTTCCGTGCTGACCATGCTCTGAAAATTTTCCGAGATTCTCCCTTGGCGCGAAAATTATCTGGTTTACGCCAATTATGTTTCATATTTGCTGTACCGAACGCCATTCCAGAAAATTTTCAAGCATTCCGGAGAATTTCCGAGATTATCCGCCGGACGGACGCGCCCGGATTAAGTGTATTTAAGGAAAGCATGCGACGCTTTGTTCTGCCTCATCCAATGCTTGGCCTATTCCCTTCGCCGTCATTGTATGGAAATTGCTTCCCTTGTGGATGTTTGACACACCGTCATTCTTAGAAGCCACTGCCAGTGGACGCTGGGCTGGATATTAGGCAAGGAAGGACTTGGCTCATTTTTGTGGGACAGCAACTGATTTCCAATGCCACAGTTTTTCCTATTTGACTTCGCAGACACGGAATGGCAGACAAGGAACAGAGCGTTCCCAAGCATTCCGGATATTTGGGTTCTCAAGTCAAGGGTAGTGATGCTGCTGATGCCGCACAAGCAGAACGTGCTGAGCAAGAACATCCACGTGATATCGACGCCGGGCTGTCAGCGTGTAGCGCCAGTGCCACACAGCCGGGGCCATCAGGGGCCAAGCCAGCGGAAGTGGCGGCGGCGGCCGCGGCGGAGCGGCTGGCCGACTTCACCAACCCCTACCAGCCGACCGTGCCGTTTACCTGCCACCTATGCGGCCTGGCCGAGCTGTGCCACTACAAGGGGACCCGGCCCGGCTTCACGCGCTCCGTGCAGCCGGTGGAGCCGTCGTACGTGATGCGTGACCCGTTCGCGCCACGCGGCGCCGGCCAGCTGCTGCTGCTCGGCTCCGACTGCGCGGCGTGCGGCCGCGCCGTGTGCCAGGACGCCGGCTGCAGCGTCTTCTACACGCGTCGCTTCTGTCGGCCGTGCGCCAGACAGCGCGCCGACGAGTTCCCTTCGCAGATGCGCTCCAAGATCACGTGACGCCTGCGGGTTTGCGGAGTGTGGCGAGTGGAGGGCGTCGTGATCACCGCAGTGATCGGCGTTTGGACAAAATGTCTACAGTGATGGTTTGACATGCTAGTTGTAGGCCATTGTGGTAAGGGCCACCACATGCTGGCGCTGTGGCGGTACGCACAGTAAGCCTCGGAGCCTTTGGTGTGCATGTATTATTGCTGGTGGAATGATTAGCTAGGTGACGCAAGAAGATTACCGTTACGTGCATGTCAGGGTGGTCGAGGAAATGAAGATTCAACATTCATGTTTGCGGGAGCTGTACCATGGTTCGTGACCAGGTACTTTACAACGTTCCCACTTTATTTTGCCCAAATGTGTTTTCCTGATATGGCTCTGCAGTACAGTTCGGTTTATAGACGGCTTAAAGAGTGTTAAAGTTGTGTATGAAAATTATTATGCGCAACACGAAACCAATCTTACGTGACTGCTCGATGCAGGTTCCAAGTCATATCCGAAAATATTAACCGTGCGTTAATATTTTGCTTTCATTTGCGTTAAAGGGAATGCTCCACATTTGAAGATATTGAATCAAGTATCAGATATAATGAAAAATCACTTGTAACTGTTGGCATGTTTTTAAGTAGAAAAGGCTGCTCTAGACAACACGATTTCTACATGCAGTAGATATCCTCCTCAATGTGGTATTGTTTCATTGCGTCATTGTACCATGCATAACACTGATTGACAGCCAGTTATCGGCGGATATGTATGCAAATCGTGCTCACGAATGTTACATATGAACAACTCGGCAATTATATCTTTCTTGATCTTGATCGGCGCATCGACAGTGGAATGTCAGGATTTAAAGGACGTTAGTATGATGTAACGCAGACCAGGGTTACGTACCTAATGGCTCTGCCACTTTTTTGCAGTATTTAAGCTCAGAAACCGGAGGATTTTAGGCATTGAGAAGGGCATGGCCTTAGCTACATCGAAAGGTCTTCAATATGGCTATTTCTGTTCAAAAACCCCATGCAAATGTAGAACACTCCCTTTAATATGTTGTGCAATTGGTTAACATCATTTCATATCGGCCACCACTCCCTCTGGGAACATCTAAGGCAGCTGCTTTCTTTCATTATAACCCAAAACTAAAAAGGGCCGATACCTGAGTTCGTTAATACTCTCAAATGCCTGACATGTCCTTTGCTTAAAACGTACAAGTTCTTTTCATCATGTCCGAATTCAGACCAAAGTGGCCTTACTGATGGTAGATCTTCAGTTGTGCGAGTTTAGAGTTCTGATGTTGACAATAATACCTTACCTTAGGCCTTAGACACATCAAGACCTTACCTTAGACCTTAGATATACCAAGAGGTACTGGGTAATCGACGTTTTGGAGCAAACATTTGTTGTGCCAAAACCCGACGTTTCGAGCCGCGGTCATGTTCACGAGTGAACAGGGTTAAGCCAAGAATTGCTCTAAAAGTTCTGCATTTTAGATGGCGAAATTAGATTGAGTCTTTGCGGGGCCTGCCTTTGAAAATGTATCAAAGTAATGGTATCGTTCAAACTCCCGCGCTCTAACTGTCGGAACATGGCGCAACGATGAAAGCTGCACGAAACACAGGCTGCCAAACAGGAGTTAACGGTGTCCCACATCGAGTGAAAGGTAGGAAATTGTTTGCTCTGAATACCGGGCATCACGGACATTGCGTCACCATCACGAACATTCGAGCTCTACAGGTTCTCGGGTGCGAACACAGAACAAGGCGCTGCGCTGAGGGGTCTCCGGAACACAGGCTCCCCAGTAGACATATTCGGATGACCCGTAACGAATATATATATATATATATATATATATATATATATATATATATATATATATATATCAGCTATTATATCGTTATCTTTCGTGTTCAGGCTCGGACGAAGACGTCGAATGCACCAGTGTTCCTAACATATTGAGGTCTGCGTCGTCCAGCTGTTACTGATATTTTTTCCTTTAAAGTTGCTACTGGTTGCGCTATGGTCAATTGCTGCGCGCCGGTCTACCATGTGTTGGCCTACTGGTGTGTACGTCCTCCGTAAACGTGCATCTCCCAGGTGTTTGTTGTGCTATTTTATGCTATATCCGAATGCTATGTTTTCTTTTCTCCCACAAAAGTCACGGCAGGGGTTACAGGACATCACATAGGCTACGTTCTTTCGTGGGCATTGTCCTTCCAGCCCATGCGTGCGTGCGTGCGCGCGTGACAAATCGGACACCCAGCTGGGTACGCCAAGGTGCCCAGGGCTGATTGGACTAGCATGGACATTTAAATGGGATCAGTAGTCCACAGCGAACTGCACGTCAAGAAGTTAACGTGCGTCGGGGTCATCTGGTCCAGTGGTATCTTGCTGATGAAAGCACCGAGATAACTACTACATTTTGTACCAGTCATTTACCAGGGATCCACGGATCATTGGGTAACAAGTGCGAGTCAAGCAGCGTCGACAGTACATTACAGCAGTGTATCATCACACATTACAACCTTGCCCACTTATTTGGCCCCTTAAACAGCGGGGTTTTTGGGGGCGCATGTGTTGCTGCGCACCGCGATGTGTTCAGCGATCCGCTGGCCGACTGTGCTCTCTCCGGCAGACGCAGCCGGCGGTGATGGCCCGTGTCGGCCTGGACAACTTCCAGCGGGCCAGCTACCTGTACCAGCTGGCGTGGGCGGCGCTGCGGGCCGAGCCGGGCCGGCCAGCCGCCTCACGTCTCTACGCCCACATGCTGGCCACCTTCTCGCAGAAGGCCGTGCTGCGTCTGGAGCGGCGGCTGAAGCGCACCGCCTGCCGGGCCTGCCACGCGCTGCTCGCGCCCGGCGTCACGTGCACGGTGCGCACGCGCTCGCGGCCGCAGCGCTGCCAGGTGTGGACGTGTCGGGCGTGTGGCCAGAACCGCCGCTTCCCGTGCCCGCGGCCGGCCGGCGGGCGTCGCCAGTCGGCAGCACAGCAGCGGGCGGCAGGCGGCGCTGCACAGGAGCTGGCGGGGTCGGCGGGGCAGCGGCTGGAGAACGGCGACAGGCGACGGCTCGATGCGGAGGGTGTGCAGACCGAAGACGATCATGGACGGCCGACCGAGAGACAACCGGAGCTGGAAGAGGCGCGAGTTAGAGAAGAGCAGCTGCCAGAGGCGACGGAGCGGAACTCTGCACTGGTGCCCGGGCATTAGTCAGCAATGCGTCATCACTCGGAGCGCCGCTGCGCACTGGTCGTCAGCGGGCTGATGGCATGCGAGAGCCCACGCTTGCTATAGCTCTGTCGCTATTGGTGCTGTTCACCTTAAAACCACCGAGTTAGCCTGCTGTGGTCCACAGTGTGGACGATCTCGCCTTATACGACTGCTGAATGCGTCCCGGTTTATGCTCGGTTTCGTGAAAGTCGATGAACGTGCCAGCTTGCTCGCAGAGTATCAATACCACGCGCGCATCTGATGCTACGCCGCTGTTACCCAGTGGACCAGGGAGGTGGGGGAGGCGGGCCAGCGACGACAGTCTGACGTCATTGAGGTCGGTAACGCGTGTGTGCGAGGCCCAACCGAACGAGCCATATGACTTACGTGTTCTTTCGCCGAAGCCCTGCCCCCTCACCAGACGGCCAGTCGTCGACGCATAGCGTCCACGATTGGTGCGATGTTCTCACCGAAGCCCTGCCGCCTCACCAGACGGCCAGCCGTCGACGCATGGCGTCCACGGTTGGTGCGATGTTCTCACCGAAGCCCTGCCCGCTCACCAGACGGCCAGATGTCAACGCGTGTCGTCTCACGGTTGGTGCGATGTTCTCACCGAAGCCCTGCCCGCTCACCAGACGGCCCGATGTCAACGCGTGTCGTCTCACGGTTGGTGCGAGGCAGCGGGACTGTTCAAGCGGGGCCTTCACGTATCCGCGCGCTAATGTAATGGCGGAGCGGACGCGTACGGCCGTGGTTTTGTAAATAAACGAACCGCCGCTTACGCAATGTCCCTTGAAACGGGCAAGGAAGACCGTTGGGGCTGAGGATTCGCTGTTTCTGTGGTGTAGGAACGCGGGGGGGGGGGGGGGGCGAGGCGGCAGGGAGCCAGTGCCCTCGACCCACTTTTCAAGGTGGGGGAGGGAGTGCAGCGTGTGGTTAAGAGAGCAAACTCCAAGCGAACGATCAGGACAGTTCGGAAGCGTAGTAGCAACACTCGAGTTTGGTTACACCGGAGTGTGCCACCCGCCAGACGACGCCCGAATTGATCCGCCTGCTGGCACGGATGGAACATACGCAGAAAAAGTGTCAGCGCTGCAGAGCGTCACTCAGCGGAAAAGCCATAACATGTGTATTTGGAGGGGAGATGGCACGCCGGCTGTATACCTACAATGCTCCATTTTCTACCCGCGGGGCGCATCGTTGTCAGACTTCTATAACCGTGGAAAACGCACTTTTAGCTTCCTATCGTTGGCTTCCTCCCACAGTTGTGTGGCTGCCACACCAACTAAGTCATTACCAAGTTGACAACGCTGCGCCGATACTCACTGTACCCGCGCGAGGGACTTCAAATGTAAGGTGTCCCTGCAGGAGGCCTGTGTTAGAGCCGCGACAAGGGCCTTGAGGCCGACAGGGGCCTGGCACGGCCGGAGGACCCCGTTTGCATAGTCTGGGGGATGCGTGGCATGAAGTCCCCCTTTCCGAGGTCACGCGTAGTTGAGAACCCGAGAGTAAATATTTGCCGTTGTATGTTGATTATTAAGATACTCGCACTGAAATACCGTCGCGGAAAATACGGTTAGGTTAGTTTGACCAACATCAAGTCTTGTCACTTCAAGATCAAGCCTTGATCACTTCAAATGTGCCAAATGAATGAACGTTTATAATGTACCGTTTCCTCCAGTCATGACACACCCAGACCTAATGTTGGCGATGTTGATATTTCTGCTGGCTGATGTTTGGGCACCGCACTCCCCGCCGATCTGCCTCACGAAGGCTGGAATTATACCCTTATCAGGTGCCTGTTGGTGGAATTATACCCTCATCAGGTGTCTTCATGTCGTGTGACACTCCGCTTCCTGCTGACGAAATTGGCTGAATCTTGTACCAGCGCGTTCATGCTGAAGGGGGACGACGCATGACCGTTCAGCGCAACCCGACAGAGACCGCGGGCAACTGACGCATCACTGCCCATACCCAGCCTGACGGCAACGCTTACTTGGAGCCGGCGCCAGCTGCTGCAAATGTCCCGTTCAATTACACGTGGAAGCTATCAGGACGTTGAGGGTGCTAAGTCTGATGAAATAGCCTAACCGGCGCACAAAATTGCGGCGGCCGAGTGTCACACTACCCGGTCATTTCTGGGAGTCGATCAGAGGTTTTTAATTGCTTTATCCTTGTGTTCTATCTAGCCCAGAAGCTGGGAGTCGAATGTATTGAACCCTCACCCCAAGTCATCACCCCTCGTTCCTGCATTACCGGTCCCATTTCCCAGGTCCAATCCTTCCCCCATTACACCCCCTGTCCCGCAGCCTCCGGCAAACCTGTGAACCGGTGCACCTTACGCCGCTCCCAAGCCTCCGCTCAAAGAAAGGAGTTTCGCACATTAGCATACGGAGTTCGATTTGGAATATTTTTCTAAAAACATTTAGAACTCAGTGTTGTCACAACATTCTGGACGCGACCGGCACGCTGCTCGTGTAGACACGTTCATCAGCGGCGACACATTGCCAGCAATGTATAACGTGACGGCATCTGCCACATCTGTAGTCTGCGGGGTTTGCCGACTCTCGGCCAGATAGCCAGACTGCGAGCGTGCTATCGCACACGTCCACGCCGTGCACACCCATCCACTCCGCGTGTTGTCGGTTCCCTTTCGACCTGTCCAGGCACCAGTCCGGTCACAACCCAGCCGCGTAACAGCGACCCCAGGCGGCGACGAACATCCCATCATCGCCAGCGCAGAGCCGCAGACGCCAGCACGTCTTTGTTTTGTATTGACGGCGAAGTACCTCCAAGAAAGCTTTACAAAACACGAAAGTAGTAAGTTATCGCGACACCTAATTTTCAAACGGCGCGCTGGCGCGAACCGCGCAGTATATACAACCAGCGCAAACTCGGCCGCTCCTCGAATGCCCAATGTGTACGGAGCGCGTGGCGCATACCCCTCCCCAGGACACAGGCGTCTGTCGCGGTTGTCCGTATCACAGGTCTGAAGGTATAGGACCGCGTCTCCGGACAGGCTGAGGTTAAAACCATGGTACAGGGCTCGGACTGGAACCAAGTAAACTGGCTGTCGTTCGGCCGTAATACCTTTGTACCAAAAACACATGATTATCTGTCAGACAATTTGTGCCCGTCGTGCCGTCCTGCGAAGCACCTATATACAAAACCGGTGTCGACACCCTACTACATATTTAACATCAAACATCAAAGGTCAATAAGCCGTTTTTGCGTTTCAAATCACACGAGAGCGAAAAATAACGGTACATTTCACCAATGTAGGTACAGCGAGGGGGCGGGCCGGCTGCGCCCGCCAGAGACGGCGCCAGACGCCGGGGCTCGGGCAGCAGGGCAGCCTCCTGCCCGTGAGAGGGTCGCCGCCCCCGCGACGGCCGCCGGCGCCCGTCTAATTGCCCGGCCAGTAGCCGCCGCCGTAGCTGTTCTTGGCGGCCGCCTTGCTGGGCTGGGCGGCGCGCTGCGGCCCGCCCACGCTCGAGTCCTGGTGGCCCGGGTGCACCATTTGGTGCTGCGGCGGCATCGTCTGGATGAACATGTGCGGCGCGTAGCCGCCGGGCGCCGCCAGCGGCGTCGTCTGCGCCTGGCCGGCCAGATTGAAGGGCGGTGGCGTGGCCGCGTGGAACCCCTTGTTATCGTACTTGTTGCCCAGCTGCATCTTGCTGTAGACGGCGCTGAGGTCGGCCGCGGCGCCCACCGAGCCCGAGCCGCCCAGCTTGTGGCCGGCCGAGCCGACGAAGCCCGCCGACTTGTAGTCGCCGCCCGGCGCCGACGCCAGCGAGTCGTACGAGCCGCCGAACGAGGTCGCGTTGTACGCCATCTTGGGGTACTGGCTCGTGCTGGACGCCTGGTGCGCCGCGTTCGTGGCCGGTGGCATCGGCGTGTAGATGCTGTACTGGGGCACGAACGGGAAGTACGTGTAGTTGGGCGGGATGGCCGCCGCGTTGAAGAACTGCTGCTGCTGCTGCGACTGCAAACCACAGGACGGCGGCGTCACTCACCACAGGCGACTCCGTCTCATCCGTCACACCGCCCAGCGGCACCAAAAGCAGCACACACCACGCCACACCGTCCACGAGCGTCTGGCAAGCGCGGCAAGGCGGCCTCCACACACGTAGCACCTACCAGAGCACGCCACGCAGCTGATTCTGGAACGCAGCCTGGCAGCGAGCGAGCGCGCGCAGCAGGCCGAGCAGCATCGCGGGCGGGGGCGCGTCGCCGCTCGCCGCAGCAGCCGACGGCGCGCGCCAAGCAGCAAGCGCAGAGGCCATGGCACACACCTTTACCTGCTGGTTGAGCGACGATTGCACGGGCGACGAGGCCTCCTGCCTGCTGTACTTGGCGTCCGCCATGGAAAAACGCCGCCGAGGCGCCCAGCGCCGAGGCCGCGTCTCCGCGCCCCTGGTTGTTAGCCGCCTGCTGCTGCTGCCGGAGCGACAGGTGACGTCACAAGACGCAGCAGCAGCAGCGGAACGGCGGGACGTCACGAGCATGGCCGGAGCGGAATGGACGCGTGACGCCACAAACACTGCTGCCGCGCGGCCGGCGGTGGGTGACGTCACAAGAGCTGCTGTTGCGGCGGAGGGGAAGCTGACGCCACAACACTGCTCCTGCGGCGGGGAAGTGACGCCAGAAGCCTTGCCGCAGCGGCGGGGACACTCGGCATTAGAAGTGTCGCCGCCAGGCGAGTGATGCTCATAACACTGACGCAACAAACGGGAAGCCAACGTGACAGTGCTAAGGCGGGAGGGAAATGTGACGTCACAGACCCAGGCGAGTGATGCTCATAACACTGACGCAACAAACGGGAAGCCAACGTGACAATGCTAAAGCGGGAGGGAAATGTGACGTCACAGACCCAGGTGACCTGATTTGGGACGGAGACATCACAAACATTGCTGACCAGGGACGCGAAGGAGACAGCACAGCTGCCGCCGAAGTGAGTATGGGGCGCACGACGGCGCATCCAGCTGCAGCGTCAGCGACAGGGGGCGCCACGGTCGCTGCCACAGGGCAAACGACAGACGACAGCAAACGGACGCAGGAAGGGAACACGGGGGGAGGGGGGGAAGGACTTACAGGCATTACCACCGAAGAAGAGAGTGTGCTGACGTCACAAACATAGGCGTGTGGAGGAGAAGCCGCAGCGAGCAGCACGGAGACGTCAAAGGCTGCGAGAATCGCTCCCGAGACGAGGCAACGACCCATCGCGCATTCCAAGTAAGGCTGCCGCGTCCCATTTCAAAGTCCCTGATACCAGCCACATGGCACGAGCAGCTACCGAGGACAGCCCACCCGGTGCCGGCCCCGTCAGCGCACCGCGGCGGCGGCGGCGGCGGCGGCGCCTCGACTGACCAGGTGCGGCAGCCGCTGCTGTAGCGCCTGCATCTCCTCCTCGTAGCCGTAGATCTGCTGCATGCCCGGGTAGAAGGTGGGCACGCCCGTCTGGCCGACGAAGTACTGCAAATCGGCACGCCGGGGCGGCACACTTGGCATGCTGCCCGACCGCGCTGCGGCAGGGCGGGGGCGGCGGTCAGCCGCTGGGGACGACGGCCAGCCGCTGGGGACGACGGCCAGCCGCTGGGGACGGCGATCAGCCGCTGGGGGCGGCTGTCAGCCGCTGGGGGCGGTAGTCAGCCGCTGGGGGCGGCGGTCAGCTCCTGTGGGCGGCCGGTCAGCTCCTGGGGGGCGGCGGTCAGCTCCTGGGGGCGGCGGTCAGCTCCTGGGGGCGGCGGTCAGCCGCTGGGGGCGGCGGTCAGCTCCTGGGGGCGACGGTCAGCTCCTGGGGGCGGCGGTCAGCTCCTGGGGGCGGTAGTCAGCCGCTGGGGGCGGTCAGCGCTTGGGGGCGGCGGTGTCAGCCGCTGGGGGCGGCGGTCAGCTCCTGGGGGCGGCGGTCAGCTCCTGGGGGCGGCGGTCAGCTCCTGGGGGCGCGGTCCGCTCCTGGGGGCGGCGGTCAGCTCCTGGGGGCGGTAGTCAGCCGCTGGGGGCGGCGGTCAGCCGCTGGGGGCGGCGGTCAGCCGCTGGGGGCGGCGGTCAGCCGCTGGGGGCGGCGGTCAGCTCCTGGGGGCGGCGGTCAGCTCCTGGGGGCGGCGGTCAGCTCCTGGGGGCGGCGGTCAGCTCCTGGGGACACCCGCCTCGCCGTGACGACGGCAGCGCCCGGCGGCCAAGGCTGGCCACTGTCTGACCCCGCTCTTACAACATCAGGGCCGGACAGGCTGGATCTGTCAGCGATACATGTGGCATCGTTCCTAGTGCCCTAACGCTAGGGACATCATTGATGTTCCCGACACTCTGCGCTGATTTGAGCGGTCCAGCGCTGGATAGGTTTTGCAGGGACAAACGAGGAGCGTTGGAAACATTAATATATAAACAGCTCGTGTAACGTAGTAAAGGACATAACGGCACCGGCCAGAGTAGTCACTCAAATTTTCCGTTCATAACAAGCAACAACACGGAGGCACAACCGATTTACTGGAGGGTCAACCGCAATATTAGGCGCCACCACTCGAGCCTGACAGCCACACGCCGTCTCCCACGAGCGCAGCGGCCAGGCCCCGCGTTCTCGGCACGTACTGGTGGCGGTGTGGGAGCGACCAGGCGCCGAGGCTGAGCCGACACCGCCGGCCAGGCCCGCCGGCAGCGAGGAGGCGGCCGTCGACACGCTGGACGCCAGCGAGCTGGCCGCGTTCGACGACTCGTACTGCGGGCGGGACAGCCAGACGGCGATGGGTCAGCCGCCGGCGCCGGACGGGGCGGGGTACGCACGGCTGGTGTTGGGAGGTCGGAGCCAACACACGCCAAGGCCCCGCAGCTGCGATGACAACTGAATCGAATCACGACTGCCAGCCTGAGTCTGCGACTTCAACGTCAAAATGCTCATGACGACTTAAATTCTCAAGTTTGATTGCTTATCTAGGCATTAAACTATCTAGGCCAGTGACGTCATCAGTCCAGATGGTGACGGTTTCCTGTATCGGGAGGTCAACCCAACTCCCTGGATCGAGATCGACGGCACCATTCACGCTTAAGACTAAACGGGTCCAAACACGACCGACACCAGTCACAACACGGCCGCACACGAACTGCGTGTTATCACTCGTTTTAGCTGCGCACACGACACGCACCGGACCACGGAGTGCGGTTGCGATACGGTGCGAGCCAGGTCAGGTCAGGTCAGGTCAGGTCAGGTCAGGTCAGGTCAGGTCGGGTCAGGTTGGGTGGCAAGCAATCGCCTCGGGAGCGCACACAACACTGACCGCGCGCTGACGACGCCGCCGCCTGCCGCCCGCAGACGTCACCTACCTGGCTGGCCTTGCCGCCACTGGACAGCGCGTTGGTGAGCTTCTCCTGAAGCGAGTTACCGGTCAGTGTGCCGCCGGCGCCGGCCGCGTACGAGCCGTTGTTGTAGGCAGCGCTGTAGGCGGCGGCGCCCGCGCCAGCATAGCTGCTGCTCGGGTACGAGCCGGCCGAGCTCGTCTGACTGAAGGAGGAGGTGGGCGCCGCCGACGAGAAGGCCGGCGCGCTGGCCGTGCTGAAGGCGGCCGGCTGGCTGTAGCCGGCCGGCGCCGCCGCCGCGCCGCCGTACGAGGCCGCCAGCTGCGAGAACGAGGCGCCGCTGACGCTGGGCGCCGCCGGGAAGCCGGCCGGCCCCGGCGACAGCTTCTGCGACGAGTAGAGGCCGGGCGCCGGCGGAGCGAAGCCCGTGGACGGCGCCGCGTCGTCGCCGGTCGCCGCGCCGGCCGAGTACGAGGCGGCTGCCGAGTCCCGCGCGCTCTGTCGGCGGACACGGCGGGCCGGGGGCTAGAGAGCGAGCGGCGGAGGGCGCGGCGAGGCCCGGCCGACTAGCACACCACGGCACGCCGACGCGGACGACGGGCGACACACGCACACGGGCCGGTTAGAGGGCGGGGCGTTACGGGGCGCGGGCTGGCGGCCGCACGGCACCCACCTTGACCGGCTGGCCGGCGGACGGCAGCGAGCCCAGCTGCTGCTCCGGGCCGGACGACGCCACGCCCGAGGAGAAGGCGTCCGCGTCGCCGTCCGGCGTCTGAAACGGCTTGCTGTCGGAGGTGCCGAAGTCGAGGCCGCCGAACTTGACGCCCAGCGACGAGACGGGATCGCCGGGCATCTCCACGGCCGACTCCGGAATCTGAAGGCCGACAAACCGCGCGTCAGCACGCCGAGCGTGGCTACCCTCCCCTACGCCGCTGGAGCCAAGACACGTATTCCTCAATGCCATCAAACGGGAATGAACGGCATCAGCAGATAAACCAAGCTGCCATGCCCCGTTTCTGCCCGATGACAACACATAAACCCAGCGGCCCTCCACGCTGCAGCCCGTCGGCGCTGCGTCACTGACCTTGGACGGCGGCTGCATCCGCGGCTTTTGTACTTTGCTCCTCTGCGGCAACGACTGCGACATGCTGGTGGCCGTGGACACCGGCTCCGACGGCGCCAGCGACGACTTGAGTTGGCTCGCGAAACTGTCAGACGTGTACCCCGACGAGTAGCTCAGACCTGCGCAGAACGCACGGAGACGCTGCGAATCAGACCTGATGAGGCGGAGACCAGATGACCAGACCAGACCAGACGAGTCACAGCTGATGGGGTGGAGACGCTGCATCACGCGACCCATCGTGAGAAGGCATCGACAGCGAGACAACGCTTGATCACAGACCCAGCCCAGGGCCCGAGTAATTTGTGTGACAAAAACAAGATTTTGTTGCGGTACTTGGTCTGCCAAGCCGTATAGTGCCCTAGTCGTCAAAGGAAAGCAGACCGATAATCCCAGGCACGAAACCAAAACCAGGGAGGGGGAGGGGGAGGGGGAGGGGGAGGGGGAGGGGGGAGGCCACTCGACGCAGCCTGTCGGACGCCTCAGCGGTCCGGCGGCGACAAATGGGGCTCACCTGGTGGGTTGGTGTAGCCGGACGGGTACGAGGCAGCCGGCGCGGCCTGCTGCGCCGCCGGCCGCGCCGTCGCGCTACTATAGCTGTACACCCCGGGCGCGTTCGACGCCACCGCGCTGGCCGCCGGCGCCGACGAGCCGATGGCCACCGGCCGCACAGCGTCCCCCATCTGCCGGCGTCGCCGCGAACTGCGAGTACGTCGGCGCGTCGCCGCCGGCCTCGCCGGCGGCGGGCGCCTTGCCGAGCAGTGCCCTTAGGTCGAGGCTGGGGCCGAGTGTGGAGGCGGGCGGCGGCGCAGGCGTGCTAGACACCGGCGTGTCGCCGGCCGCGGGCGCCGCCGGCTGCACGGGCGCGCTGGGCGTGAACACCTTGGTGTCGGTGAGCGAGCCGCCCCACTCCTCGTTGTCCCAGTCGTCGGCGGCCGGGAAGCCCTGGTCCCAGCCGCCGCCGGGCTGCGTCCGGCTGCGGCCGCGGCCGCCCCGCTCGTCGCCCGGGTTCGTCCAGGTGTCGATGGCGGCGAAGTCGTCGCCGCGGCGCGTCTGGAAGCTGCGCGAGCCCAGCGCACCGCGCCGGCCGCCACGGCCGCCGCGTGCGCCGCCGCCGCGGCCCGCCCAGCGTGGCCGCCCCTCGCCGTCGCCGCCGTCCGCCGCGTTCTTCTCGTTCTCCCGGCTCTCTCGCGCCTTCCCTGCGGGCGGTGGAGGGGCAGCGCGGTTAGTGGCATACTGCTTTCGAAAAACGCCTGCTGCCGCCATGTCCGTATTGAGTGAGCATCTCGAACTCACGGTCAAACAAGCGGAAGTACGTCAGCTATTTAAAGCTAGGTATGACAGAAGTTCATCATACGTCATGCACACATTAGCCCAACTTTGGCCCTCCCCGGTTGATTAAGTCACATTACGAAGTTCGCCATGCGTCATGTATACATTACACAAACTTTGGTCCCGCCGCTTGATCGCGCCGCATTACGAAGGTAACGAACCAGCTCGTCCACCGAGCCATGACTGCTCGCGAGCCCGCCGCGGCCTCCGGCGGCCCTGGCCGGCACTCACAGCTCCTGTCCTGAGCGGCGCCCCGCCGCAGTCGCGGGGGCTGACCGCCCCGGCTGCGGGACCGGTCCCGATCCCTGTCCCGGTCCCGCTCCTCCTCCTTGGGGCCTGCGCTCTCCTCTGGCACCTTCTGGTCGGCCGGCGCCGGCTTTGGCAGCTTCTTTTTCTTCGTCTTTTCCACCCACTCGCCCTGGACAGGCGAGAGCAAAAACGGATTTTAGGCTGGACGCCGGCGCCGTGGTTACTTCGGAGGCGTGACACTCGCGGAGGGAAACTGTCTGTCCCTGTCTTTTACCCTTACCCTGTCTGTCTGCCTGTGTCTGTGTCTGTGTCTGTCCCTGTCTTACCCCGACGACCCTGTCTTTCTCTAAAACACACACACACACACACACACACACACACACACACGCACGCACGCACGCACGCACGCACGCACGCACGCACGCACGCACGCACGCACGCACGCACGCACGCACGCACGCACGCACGCACGCACGCACGCACGCACGCACGCACACGCACGCAAAGAGCCATTCCACAGGAATCCCAAAGCGGGGCAACAACGTTTGAAAGTTTGAAATCATACCTGTATGACTTAAGAACAGCTGCTAGCTGCTAGATCCATTTTGATGGTACACATCGGAAACAAGGCTGCGAAATGGGCGTTCAGGAGTGTTTTAAGCCGTTTTGTCCACCGTGACACAATCTGATAGCCGACGATGATGCGTGCAGGACATGAAATACATGCCAGATGTCGAATTATTCAACGCTAGTTCTTTTAAAACCAACTATCGCCGACAAAAAAAAGAACGCCGTACCTGATCGTCACCTTCCAGGAGCATGTTGATAGCTCTCGTAGGGTCGTAATCACAGTCGAACAAGGCGATTTCTGCCTCATCTTTTGTTTTGCCTGTGAGCTGTATCACTTGGCTGATTTTGTCTTCGAACATTTTATCTTCTCTCTGTAATATTCAGCACAATACGTCAACCATAAACATATCACAGGACAGATCAGGTCAGTTGGATGCAATAAGTCGGCGACATGAGTTCGTTCATTCGTTCGTCGGCAGGTGTTGATCACCAAATTGTATGTATTGGTACCGCGACTGTCGATGCGGCATGTGACAAGAGGCGACAGCAGATGGCACAAGAGGCGACAGCACATGGGCCAAGAAGCCACAGCAGATGGGACGAGAGGCGGCAGCAGATGGGACGAGAGGCCACAGCAGATGGGACGAGAGGCGGCAGCAGATGGGACAAGAGGCCACAGCAGATGGGACGAGAGGCGGCAGCAGATGGGACGAGAGGCGACAGCAGGTGGGACAGGAGGCAACAGCAGGTGAGACAAGAGGCGACAGCAGATGGGACAAGAAGTCACAGCAGGTGAGACAAGAGGCGACAGCAGATGGGACAAGAAGCGACAGCAGATGAAACAAGAGGCGACAGCAGATGGGACAAGAAGCCACAGCAGATGGGACGAGAGGTGACAGCAGGTGGGACAGGGGGCGACAGCGCATGGGACAAGGGTGACAACGGGTGGGTCGAGAGGCGACAGCAGATGAGACAAAAGGCGACAGCAGATGTGACAAGAAGCGACGGCGGATGGGACAAGAGTCGACGGCAGAGACAGCAGAGCTGGCCACAGTGACCGGGTGTCAGACAGACGATGTAAAAATGAAGCTTATGACGTCAAGACTTTCTGAAACCGACACTAACAGATATCATAAATGATATCATACGAAAGCCTAACCCTCCTTAGAACTGAACAGGCCGAGCTACACTGACGTAGCATTCGCGCACTTATTGACAAATAGCGGAGCGTGAAAATGACTGACTGCAAGCCTAGCTTCGCCTGACAATTCCAATCGAGGACATCGATGGATTTGCAAAGATTTGCGGTTTAGCTGTATCACCAAACTAGTGCGATAGATGTGAATGTTTTAATGGGACGATTGACACATCAAACAGGGCTTTACGACTGAATGTTTTTCATGATCACGTTTATATCGGTTTACGTCACACTGCGCCGTAATCTAGATGGATTTTGGAAATAGTGACGGCGGCAGCGTGCGGGCATGTGCTAGGCGCACACATATGTAGGACAGATTTCAATAAATCGCTATGTTGAAACTGGCCAATTTGCCTACATTGTGCATTAGTTTCACATCTTGGGCCTTGGGTTCTATAACCATGGTGTATTCCCCACACGTGTAACCGAAGATGAGAACACCGGCGATAAATCACACCCGACATGGTGGATGGCAAAGCGCTGGCGGTACACAGCTGCCGGTTCATTTACATCGCGGCCTCGCTTGGAGACCAAGCGATGCCAGCCGAGGTCATGCGGTGACGTCAGCCCAAACACGGTGATGAACTCATACGGCCGATTGCACGGCTCGGCCGCAAGTTGGATCGGCACTGCCGCTCACAGCCCGCGGGATTTGACGCTCTCCGTGCCCTCTATTCGACGCTGACACAAAGGAGAATGCCTACATCTTTAGCCTGCTCAGAGGGACTGCGTGCGCAACGAACTGACCGTGTTGCGGTACTCTTCATGTTGAAAAAGCATGGCACGTTGCGCAACAGGCAACATGCGGTCTTGACTGGCGTGAGGTGACCTCGGTCACTACGTAAACGATCATTCCACGTCAGTGACGCCTTACGCAGCATGAAACGAGCGAGGCGATACAGATATGGTGAAGTCATCAATTGCACTTACGTCCATGAAGCCCAAAGCACGGCTGCTGGAGCCCTACATATTTCGCTTGCCATGACAATGAGGTCTGACGAATGCGTTGGAGAATTCACCTCTCATGAGAGACCAAAAAGCGGAAACCCACTGATGTGGCACGCAAACATTATTGCGAAGGACATAGATGAATTTGCACAGATTTAAGGCTTTAATAAATGCGACCAAGAGTAGCAGCATATGTCAACATCTTGGGTAGATATGGGTCACAATAAACAAGACCAAATGTCTGAACCAGTGTGGCACAACTCTCGGTTTGGGCCAACGTGTCTTGCCTTCGAGATCGGTTTCGGAAAATGTGACATTGGCAGCTTTCCCAACAAGTCGTGAGTGGTCAGTGAGCTGCGCCCGTGCGTTAGCCTACAACATGCCGGTGGTCTCAGGTCTCCACATGCTCTGGCCGCTGAGATCTGATATCACTCCTTAAAAGGCTCCAACACGGACGGATCCAAGGTGTGCCTGGGACAGATGCGTCATCTACGTGGCCGCCGGCACACATGGCGCGTGCGACTGTCCGCTCTCCACTCCGTCGAACCATGTTCGGCCCGTGCCGCTGAGACGCCAGGCCGTTGAGATCTAGACCCGTTCGTCTCGTGTCCCTGAGCACTTTTGCAACAATAAGCAATGTCGAAACGTTGAAGGAAAACCCTCTTGAGCAGCCAGTGTATATGCCAGTATCTGTCTGCCATCCTGCATGCGAAGATAGTGTTGCGTCTATGCATGCGTCCAGCCTGCATGCAACAATTCGTACTTGACAACTTTTAAGAGTTGCCGCTCACGCGGCTGAAAACTACATCGTCCTGCGATCACCGAGTGCAAATGCACCAGCCAATAGGATGTGCGACGACCAGCCCAGCAACACTGGGCGCTTAGTTGAAACCTTTTCCATAGCTGAAGCAAAGCTCACCCAGTCCGCGACCTCGCTGGTGATCAATGTGTCCTGTGTCACCTGAACGACCTCAAGATCACGAACGCCCCCCTGGTACCCAAAGTCACAAACGCCCCTCATACCCGCTAGTCCCGCAGGCTGCAGTGGCCATGACCGGTGCCTTCGTCCGCGACAGCGTGGTATCAAAATATACGCTCATGTTTCGACGGAATCTGCGTCAAATCCGGAGCTCACGAGCTTTCAGCAGGAGAATCTGGTCAATTTCATGCTTTCTGGCGTTGATTGATAGCAGAGGTATGACGCAATAGGTAGAGGCTTGCATGGCTTTGCGAACTGATGCGGTATGTCAAATTTTCCTTCCGTGTTTTACACTGTTTTGCCGCCATATCTCGACTGGTTCCGTGTTTCCTAGTCATACTAAATAATTCAGAATGGTGTCAGGCCGGGTCGCCAACAAAGACCAAGGCCTAATTACTGCAGGACAAACTTGGACATACCAAACACGAGCGACCTGTAGTCCCCATTTGCGATCAATTGGCAATGATAAGCGGAGTCGTTGATTACTACCCACCCTGATATGGTCAAGCGACGCAGCGCGGCTCAGAAGATACACGATACAAATACAAATACAAGGTGAGTAACACCAACTGGCCATAACCATCTAAAATGACATTCACTACCGATGGTTAAGCTGCAGGGCTTTTAACACGCACGCCATGCGGCGCAAGGAAAAGCCTGGTAACCTAGGATCTGTTTCGCCTGACCCATGCCATCACCAGCTATGCGGCAGCCGCCCACGTAGCACTTTCTTGGTACGAACGTCCAGGCTTACCGGACCGCTCGCCACCTTAATGTCGCTGACGCAACGAACAGATCTCAAGTTGCCATAGCAGGGGCAGGCTTTTAATCCGCCTCGCACCCCCGACGGTGGGGGTGGCAGACAGCCGTCAGCGCCCAACTCGGGGCAGAGCGGCACGCGGGGTCGGCCGGCGCGTGGCCTCACCGGTTTGGCGTTGGTGTGTGGCTTGAGCTTGTCGTGCGGCGCGGCCGGGTCGGCGGCCGGCCTGGCCTCCCTGCCCGGGCCGCGCTCCGCCTTGGAGCGGCCCGCGCTCCTGGTCGAGCTGCGACCACCGGAACTCATCGCGTTCGCCGCCTGGGACGCCCGTATGCTCTGTCACGCCACTGTCCGCTATGTACAGTATGTACATATATCTGCCAGAGCACAGGACCCGTGTCAGCATTACCGGGCATACACACATGTCTGGTTGGAAGCTTGTGAATTTAGAGACAGGTTGCGACCACTGCACATTTCCGAAATCCGGGGTGTGAGTGAGACGACACTGCGGGTTCCTTTGAATTCCTGAGCCAATTACACGGCCTTCAATGTATGGTGCATTGTTATGTACATACACATTTGTGGCACATGTATAGGATTCTGACTTCCCAATGTTGACCACAAGTGAGCAGAACCATCAACACCAAATGCGTACACTTAAAAGGTAAGTGGGGGATGGGGATGGGGGGAGGATCTGCATGCGCTTTACAAGTATATGTGACGAAGTCGTCACACACTCTCTTCACAGAGCACCAGGAACTGTAGCAGTGATAACATTTGTCACGGCGCACCCGAGATTTGAAACCCGGCCCCCACGCGCGAGCCAACCACTCGGCAATCACGGCCAAAAGAGACCGAGCTTTTTAGATGTAACTCATCAACACTCATCAGCAGCATTGCAACAGATGTTGTGGTGCAATGTGAGTTAACATTGCAGGTCAGTATCCTGCACCCAATGCTGAAAGAAGGTAAAAAGTATGCCAATGGGCACAAATACGGAGGCACGTCTGTGTGGTCTGAAATTTTCACATTCAGACTCATTGTACGTGCAAACGCGTGAAAAACCAGCAACGCATAAAATATCTGAACAGATACTGCATTCCAACCACAAGCTAAACAATTTAACAGCAAACTTCATATTTCATCGGCTATGAGGGAGACCACCGACATGTCGTGTTCTATTTGGGGGTGATACAATTTTGGGCTTGGGCGGACCAGGATGGCAGTCAGGCCGGCTCGGACGGCACACACTCTAGACGCTGGTACTTTGCAGCCGCTTACTGAGACATCATGCCCGTGTCAGCAACGAGCGGTGTAACTCCCGACAAGTCAGGCAGAATACTTTTTACAACGGTTACGCACAAACGCTTTCATAAGGCACAATTTCCCTGCAGCACTGTTATGTGATGATAACTAAATCCTCCTTTCATGCAAACAAGCCAAACGTAGCCCTGAGACCTGCCGTAAGCTAAGCTCCATGGTAACCCTACTGAACACGGGCCACGGCCGCCCGCAGAACCCGCCGGCGCGGCGTAACAGCGACGCAAGGAGACCTGATACCGCTCTGACACAGATCGGAGCGGTCTGATCGCGCTGGCACGGCGCAACAGCGACGCAAGGCGACCTGACACCGCTCTGACGGAGATCAGAGCGGTCTGATCGCGCTCGCACGGCGCAACAGCGACGCGAGGCGACCTGACACCGCTCTGACAGAGATCACAGAGGTCCGATCGCGTTGACAAGAGTGCGGGGCGATGACGCGTACAGCCGACCACACACGTGCGAGCATAAACCAGGGTCCGACTATCACCAGGTCTCAGCGACTACGGCCATTGAGCCATGAACACATCAGTAGCTCATCACAGTGCTGTCCCACTAGTGGATGCGCCGACCACCGGCCGAGGCGCGAGCCATGTCACCTGCTCGGTGACATGCGAGCCATGCCACCAAGCCGGTCTCGCGTACACAGGTCACCGCATACACCGAGGGAGAATGGGACAGTGGTGGATCCCAGAACTCATCAAAGGGGTGGAAACGCAGCATTGTGCCCCTCCCCACAAATCCTCGGATTTTGGCACATTGTGTTTACAACAAATTTTAACACTTCAAATTTGCTTTGATGAACAAAAAACATTTTCCTGTACATAGCCTTACAAAACTAAGCATGGCATGTGTGTGCACACAATGAGCATGTTTATTTTCTCCAGATCAATGTGGGTCCTGTCATTTAGAGGCCAACTACTTCAGAAAGGATATGGTAAAAAAATTGAAGTTTGCTTCTGAATATCATAATTTCAGTCCTGACACTTCATCCCAGGCTGGTCACAGTAAACCAGTCTCTGGCACTGAGTCAGTAAGTCTATGCTTTGATCAGATGATGGCTAATGACTGAACCCGAGCTTGTGTCTTGACAGCGATAAATAACTAGAGTATGACAACATTCAAACTTTGTTAAGAATGTGCAGTGCATGCAGCAGCATGATAATGCATTATAAATGTCACAGTCAACAGTGCAGGATTCTCCAAGCAAACACAAACCCAAAATCAATGTGGTGGGCCCCTGAATAATCTGGAATGCCACAGGAGAAAGGGTTCTGGCCAGAGTGCAGGGTCATCTGGACAAATGTGAAGAACCGAAGACCACAGTGGAAGGCCCCTGAGTGATCAAGAGCACCTTGGCAGATAACTGTAGATGGGTTCCCAACAATGGTGTAGGGTCCTGAGGGTGAATATGAAGAGCACAACACCAATGTGGTGGGCTCTTGCACAATCAAAAATGCCCAGGCAGGCTAACAGGCAATAGTGCTTCATCATTTGCCAATGAATGCAAGTAAAACGGGCTCTACACCAATGTGGAGAGCCCCTAAGCAATGAATGTCTCTGAATTATGGGCCCTGAGTAAGTGGAAAGAACCTGACACCTTCACTGAATTGACACTTTGAAGGTTCCTTCATTAACTGAGAATACCCAGGCAAGGGGCTCCAAGCAAGTGCAGCAAAATCAAGGGCAACATGGAAGACCTCTGACAGATCAGATTGCACCAGTAAGTGGACATATCATGCTCTTGGCAACAGCATAGGGCCCTGTATAGTGTAATGAACCCTGAAACTCTCATTACAGCCTCCAAAACTGTACCCACTAAAATTGCATTCATATCAAGTGAAATTGCCAAGTCTTTTAGACCTACATACAGACAATTTCCAAGCAATGCAATTTGGGAACCTGCAAGTAGCATGTTAGTGAAACTCTCCCTGTTATAACTTTGTCCAATAAGAACTTTCATGCGGCCCATCATAAAAGTTCCCAGCAGGCTGTCATCCTGGTTTGGACATATAGGAAGTGACCTGTGCTGTGACCTGTGACCTATTGTTTTGCCTGTCCTGTGCCACCTCAATGCTTATTGTTTTGCAATGGGCTTTGCACAGTTTCTTCACATACATTAGCAGGAGGTACAAAAATTAAACCTACATTATAAGGTATGACAAATTAACATTTTAAATTAGATCAAATACAAGCTACCTAGGGACAAATGGACATAATAATCCTGGATTTGGACCCCAGCCTACATACCCTGGACCTAAATCATCATGGACATAGATCTATGGATAAAAGGAGGGTGGAGATGGAGGTAATGGTTGAGTCACCCCTGAAATCCAAAGATATCCCTTCCTTAGCCAACTTTGTGCAAAGCCCCCAATTTCGCTGGGTGTACTAAAGCCAAATTACACAGCAGAACAGCAAATCAGGAAAAACAACTAATTACATGACTGGCATGGCAGAGCAGCACAAAATTCTTAGAAGCAAAGCAGGGTCCAAGTAAGCTCATGCCCTGATGTTTTCAGCACAACATCCAAAGTGCACTGAAGTTTCTGCATGCCATCCACCTTGTTGAAGTTTCACAGCAGTCTTTTGGTCAAAAGTGCAGGCAGCAGAATGCAGCAACATCTGACTTAGAAAACTTTGAGCCATAATGATATATACCCACATTAATGATATACCAAAGGTTATCCAATGGTCACCCCAACATCCCAGAAATTGGTCAAAGCTTCCTGTGAACAGTGCAGCACTAAATAATTGCAATCTCTGCAGCACTCTTTATTCTAACCAATACCATTCAATTCTAAATCTGCATGATTCTGGTTGCATCTTGCTAGTTATACTATGTCCACACTTCAGTCTGAGTACTTGGGAAACTGCTTTATGCCTTCCCAGACTAATTATGGCGAGATGAAATTGCCCACTGCAAGCCATCAATCACCAGATACCAACAAACCTTACATTTCAAAGCGCGTACAACATTGAAAGTCCACCAACTGCGACGCACAACCACGCATGCCCACATGCCTTAAAACAAAGAACTTACTGCGCCAATATCGTCTCGGACCTAACGCCACCCATTTCAATGCGCACACACGGCAAATCGGCAGAATAACACTTACCCAAACTAGCCTAGACTTAAGCAGAATTATAAGACCTAAGTGAAATATCTGGTTGAACCTCGATGTATTCCCGCGTATTCAGTTCAGTTGCATAACACTGACATTGCGCTCCGGTGTGCCTTCGGCTTTGTCCCTCTATGAAACAGTCATAACACAAATTCCATATCAAGTGAAAGCATGGGTTCCACACAATCGTGCAAATAGACCTTAACAACACGTCACTTCGACCGGCGTCAACACCGACAACCACATGAACCCTCCACCTACCAGCAGCCCCTATTACACGAAACCGATGCGTGCGTTGACCAATGTCTCATGGTCACGTGACCCGTGCGCATGCGCGCCTTATGTACGGTTCTATCATCAAACGTTTCACGTCAGGCCCAGCGCGTGTCCAACAGCGCGAACAAACTTTAAATGGACCGTTAAAACACATGAAAAGGTGACCTATGATTATGAAATATGGCTTAGGCGTAGACCAGGTGGTAAAGAAATACTTACAAGGATGTTGAAAGTTGAGCATTATGAACAACCCCCACTTTCAGCCGTAGCCTATCTGCAGGCGACGGGTGATAGGCGGGGTATGGCCTGGCTGATAATTCGTAAGGCTCTGCTCCCCTTCATTCTGCTCAGCATTCCTCCTCGTTGTTAAAGTTGTTTCATCATCCAGCCTACGTCCCGGCCAGCCACGTATTGCCTTTGCTTACGTGATGTACGCTTAGTTTTGCCACTCTCAACTCGAAAACTCAGGATACCATAAACTCATGATGCCTTTCGACAAGTAAAGCACGAAATTTTGCATAGTGTGGAAATTACATTTTTACGTCCACATTGCAGCAATATTGCGTGACTCCGATTACACACGACACACTAAGCTATCAACCTGTTAGTCCGGGTTGTCAACACATGCATCGTCGTACCGTACTTCGTGCTTCGGGATATGGAGCAACGCTCATCCACCACCCCGAACTCCATCATTCAGATGGTTACAATTGTTTTAAGACCTCAGGCCCTCGCGATTTCGATCTGCTGGCGGCGTCACCGGCCCTGACCGACGTAGACTGATCATGAAGCCTGTGTGATCTCAGTTATCTAGAGCTCTCATCCTTTCCAGACACTGCCGTCAGTTACCGGAACTTGTCAGTGACACTGCCGGCAGTGCCGGAACCTGTCAGTGACACTGTCACCAGTGTCGAAACCTGTCAGCGACACTGCCGCCAGTGCCGGAACTTGTCCGTGACACTGCCGCCAGTTTCCGGACTCTCCGGTGTGCCCGACAGCACCGAGGGCAGCTCCACCCATCTCATAAGCTATGGTTGAAGCGTGGCCATGCAATACCGCCTCGAGGGTTTTCGTGAAGCGGCGCGCCTTCACAGAGCTTCTAGCCACGGTTGGTGGTTTTGAAGAGTACTATTTAACATTCGCATGGCCGATAATTTACTCCTCGCGTAAGGACTATTAATTAAGTACCATGCGCCATGTCAGGCGAAGCGCCACAACACTTCAGGGATCATATCACAAAAATCGTTCCCTAGCCCTAACCTTTTAATGCATTGTAAAATACAAGAAAGTACGCAGCGGTAAAATGCGACCAGTTGGCACGAAGGAAAGCCTACCTTTCGGAACATATCACATAACGCTCCATTGTCCCGATTGTGCGGTTCAGAACAGCCATCCAATAATAATGGCACCCAATCTGGCAAAAAGGGACATCACCTGGGAAACTCATGTACCCATATACCAGAATAACTAGGTCAGTACATCGAATCCTCTGTGTAGGCGACTGCGACCTTACGACATCTCGCGGTCGTGCAGATGTGGTATTGAGTGATCCACAGTCAAAATGCTGAAGTCAACACTCGAAAGGATTAAGGCAGCATGCCTTTCCAACCTCCACCCCAGGTAAACACTGTCTGCTAAACTAAATGTATTCGAAGCGACAGCAGGCAAAACGAATTTCCAACCGCGTCAAAAAGCCGTGAAGCACCCAACAACCTACTCCAGAGTCGCGGTTGCCACCGCTGCTTTTTTTAGTGAGAGCCAGGACAGAGCAGCTGAGGTCCCCACAGCCCGCAAATAAAAAGGAACCTCGAAATCTGAATCCGAGCCCGACGGGCCACGACGCGCGCCAGAACGCGCGCGCGCGCGCGGCGCCGCCGGGCCGCCACTCGACAAGAACGCAACCCGAGCCAAAGACTGCGCCGGCGCGGCTGGATGTTGGTCGGCTGTCGGCGCCGCCGCCGCGGTGTCGGCCTGCCCTCCTCCGCCGGAGGGGCGCGCCCCGCGCCCCTCTGCCCGCCGGAACGGCTCGCTCTGGCGCCCCCGCCGGCGCGCTGCGTCGCTCTCGCTCTCTCCACCGCCGGCCGGGCGGGGTGGCGCGCGCCGCAGCGGGCGCCACTCGGGCCGCCCGCGCGCGCTCTCCGTCTCCGCTGGTTCGGCCGTCCGCCGCCAGGTGGCTGCCGCGTCCTCGGCGCGCGCGCGCGCCGCCGGAGATGGACCTGAGGTCTGTTCCTTGGCCGCGGAAACTCGCTGGCCGGGCCGTGTTCGTGGGCCACCGATGTTCTCAGTAGGGCTGCGAGGAGACGTCGACACGTCAGCATAGCCCGGCGCGGCCGGACCGGGCCGGGCCGGGCCAAGCCGAACAGAACATGGTCCCCGGTGCGACGAGGCCAATGACGTAGCTCAGTCAGCCGGTCAGGGCTACACACGGCTAAACACGGCCCCGCCGAGCCGATGGCTGGATGGCAAAGCAGCAAGCTATCCAATTCGGTGGCCTTTTCCCTGCTGCCTTCGAACGCTACAGTCCGGATGCTCAATGCATTAGATACACAACCCTGATGAATAAACACGAAAATGCACACAGGCCGTCCCGGCACGGCTCACAAATATTTCGCATTTGACATTTGACATGAAAAGGATTCCACATTTGAAGATATTGAAATAAGCACCAGATATGATGAAATAAACCCACTTATAACTACTAGGATACTTTTAAGTGGAAAAAGATGCTCTAGACAGTATAATTTTCCTGTTTAGTAAATATGTTCCTCAATATATCGTTGTTTGATTACGTCATCCTTCTTTGCACGCTGATTGAGAGGCAATTGACGGTCGCCATACTTGGAAATCCTGCTTACGAACGACAGAAAGCAACGACCCGACCATTATATTTTCATTGACCCTGACCGCCGCATGATCAAAGGAGTGGCAGAATGTGAATGACGTTATTATGGTGTCATGGATGCCTGGGTGACCCTATAATAGTCTCCCCCAAGGAGTCTACACATCTTCGCGGGCGTGTGGCTCAGCAAATAGGAGGGTTCAGGTCTTAAGGACAGGGCTGTGAACTGCACCGAACACTATCCAAGATGCCTATTTCAGTTCAAAACCTCGCACAAAGGTGGAACACCCCCTTTCATCCCAACTGAACCTCGGCGGTGCCTCCACGCCTGGCCGTCCCCTTTCCAAACACGACAGACGGCCGACACATTCACAATCGGCTGTTGGTGGGGCCGCCGCCAAGCAATACAAAACATCCGGCAGATGACCGCACAGACAGCGGGAAAAACCAGCGCGGTCGAAACAGGAAATAACGCATCGCTTCCAGATAACGACGGAAACTATCAGATGCCAGACTCAGGTAAAGCGGTGAGGACATCCCACAACAACGCAACGCATGGAGCACGGCCACTGAGCCGCCCACCATGCGTTGCGTTATTGCGCCACCACGTCACACCGTGCAGTGAGCTGCTGGCGCCTCTGAACAGCGCCGACCCCGGCTGTCGGCGGGCCCCACCTGGGAGAATGGCGCGCCCTGAGAGGCGCCCGGCAGAAAGGCGCTGCGGTCGCCCTGGTAGGTGGAGTCCTGCGACAGCAGGCCGTCCGCCTGCGAGTGGAACTCGCCCATGGCGTACGGGTCCTGCGACAGCTCCGGCTGCGACAGGCCCGGCTGCGACAGGCTGAAGCCGCCGCCCGGCTGCGACATCGACTGCAACGACGCCGGCGCGGGGTCAGTGGCCGGCCGGAGACTCCCGCCAACACCGGACCCGCGCAGCGTGTACCGGACGAATCCGCGCCAGGTCACGCTCCGCATGCACGGGACACACCAACTCGCCTATGTTATGCGTGAGCTGTACCCGCCTGTGACATGGTCTGAGTGAGCTGGACCCGCCTGTGATATGGTCCGCGTGAGCTGGACCCGCCTGTGGCATGGTCTGCGTGAGCTGGACCCGCCTGGACATGTTCTGCGTGAGCTGGACCCGCCTGTGGCATGTTCTGCGTGAGCTGGACCCACCTGTGACATGTTCTGCGTGAGCTGGACCCGCCTGTGACATGGTCTGCGTGAGCTGGACCCGCCTGGACATGTTCTGCGTGAGCTGGACCCGCCTGTGGCATGTTCTGCGTGAGCTGGACCCGCCTGTGGCATGTTCTGCGTGAGCTGGACCCACCTGTGACATGTTCTGCGTGAGCTGGACCCACCTGTGACATGTTCTGCGTGAGCTGGACCCGCCTGTGACATGTTCTGCGTGAGCTGGACCCACCTGTGACATGTTCTGCGTGAGCTGGACCCGCCTGTGACATACTCTGCGTGAGCTGGACCCGCCTGTGACATGTTCTGTGTGAGCTGGACCCACCTGTGACATGGTCTGCGTGAGCTGGACCCACCTGACATGTTCTGCGTGAGCTGGACGCGCCTGTGACATGTTCTGCGTGAGCTGGACCCACCTGTGACATGTTCTGCGTGAGCTGGACGCCGGCCTGCTGGGTGTACGGCTGGGTGCCGTCCTGGCTGTAGCCCTGCTGCGACAGGCCCTGCGAGCCCTGCGAGCCCACCGGGCCGGCGCTGGGGCGGCCGCCGCGGCCCCGGCGCATGCCGCCCCGACCTCGGCCGGCGTCCCGACCTGACGGTAACGTCACAACCACACGTCACGCGTCACGCTGTGCACGCGGCTGGCGGCGTCGAAGCCGCGTCAGGTCACAGTCACAGACACAGACACAAACACAGACGAAAAGAAAAGAAAAGAAAACTGCTGAGCGAGGTTCGTTCCATGGACCCCTGAGCTGGAACGGCTGAGCGCGCCGTCACTCCCCCACAGACGGCCGAAGGGCATGACGTCAGTGGCTTCCGCAACCAAAGATCACTGTTCAAATGTGCCACCCAATTTCTATGCATCGTAACGCACTTATGACAACCACCACGCGTTCAGTGAGCATAAAACCTGGCGACTTCAAAACAGACGACCGGCTCCATCGCAAGTCCCGTTAAATCAATATAACCCCCCATCCCCCCCCCCCCCCCTGGGGCGCCTCCGCCGGCGGCGCCTGGCACAGCGCGGCCACTCACCCTGCATGCTCTGCTGGTGCTGGTTGAAGAAGCGCGGCGGGATGTGCGACATGTTCATGAACATGCTGACCGGCAGCGACACGTTGAGCGCCGCCTGCGCGTGCTCGGGCGATATGTAGCCCATCGGGTCGTGGGTGCGCGAGAAGTCCACCATACCCATGCCTGGCGGCGGCGCGCGGGATCAGTCGGCGGCCGGCTCGGCCGCGAGACGGGGCCGCCCCACGTGCGCTCGGCACGGGCGGCTGCAACGACAAATCGCCGGCCTTGGCGGTACCGGGGCCCCCCCTGTCAACTTCACTGAGTCATTGCCCGGCTGCTACTGTCAGCCTAGGAGTCACTCGCTGTGCCTTCAAATTTGTAATGGAAGGAGCCTATTACTCACTCGCTATGCCTTTATGAGTGTAATGGAAGGCACACATTTCATCGAGGACATGTTACTTCATGATGTGATCAGCCTGATAATCATAGCTTTGCTGTTACGGAACTGTGGACTAGCAGTCTTACAGAAATGGCGTGACGACGAGCGTCTCCAGGACCAATGTGGGGACAGATGAGAGGCGCGGCCGGGAGGCACACATCTGACCGCAACAGTTCCACCAACGCGAAGCAACACATAGGAGAGCTCGGCGCGCACACTCGGCATGAGCTTGGGACAGCCGCGGCCGGTCGTCGGCTGTCCGCCGCGCCGGAAGCTCGGGCGCGGCGGGACATCCGACCACGCGTTCCTGCGACCCCTCGGGCGCCGCGGGACAGCCGACCACGCGTTCCTGCGACCGCTCGGGCGCCGCGGGACAGCCGACCACGCGTTCCTGCGACCCCTCGGGCGCCGCGGGACAGCCGACCACGCGTTCCTGCGACCGCTCGGGCGCCGCGGGACAGCCGACCACGCGTTCCTGCGACCGCTCGGGCGCCGCGGGACAGCCGACCACGCGTTCCTGCGACCGCTCGGGCGCCGCGGGACAGCCGACCACGCGTTCCTGCGACCGCTCGGGCGCCGCGGGACAGCCGACCACGCGTTCCTGCGACCCCTCGGGCGCCGCGGGACAGCCGACCACTCGCTCCTGCGACCCCTCGGGCGTTAAAGACAGCCGACCACTCGCTCCTGCGACCCCTCGGGCGTTAAAGACAGCCGACCACTCGCTCCTGCGACCCCTCGGGCGCCGCAGGACAGCCGACCACTCGCTCCTGCGACCCCTCGGGCGTTAAAGACAGCCGACCACTCGCTCCTGCGACCCCTCGGGCGCCGCGGGACAGCCGACCACGCGCTCCTGCGGCCCCTCGGGCGGTAAAGACAGCCGACCACTCGCTCCTGCGACCCCTCGGGCGCCGCGGGACGGCCGGCCACGCACGCGCTCCTGCGGCCCCTCGGGCGCCGCAGGACATCCCACCACGCGCCCCTGCGAACCCTCGTGTGCTGCGTGGGTTGTCGACAACGCGCACCAGACGCCATGCCACCACGATCAGTAATCAGACCATCAAATCAGTCACCCTGATTCGCGCGACGCCGGTGTCACTCCAATCGCAATGTACCGTGCACTTCACGAAACGGGAGCCAAAGCGTGCGAACCGTTCCGTTTTCCCCGTATGACCAGTGGCCGTCACGGACGGCGACACCGCCAGCCACGGTCGTTGGCCGACGCGCCCTGATACGTCTGGGCGCGGCGAGTGTCCAGCTGGTCAGACACACGTGCGGCAGAGGCATCAGGAGTACATCGTACTGGACATAAATCAGACATGCGATTGGACCCCTCCCCCACAAAATCCAACGACGCTATAAACAATGAACCCAATTTGATCCTGGATCTACGCCTTTGGGATCTAGGCTCGTCATGAGCCCACGATCCCACGCATGTGATATGCGTGTCATATCAGGCATGTGCGTGTTCTTCATGCGAGCGGTACCGTCGTCACCAAACTGCTGACATGTAAAACAGTTGAACGCGTAATGCTCCCAATGAGTCCGAATGAGACATCACTACTCCACAAGAAGTCAATACACGAATCACCGGCGCCTCCCGAGCCAGGCGGCCCCTGAGCCCACACTGACCAGCCCGGCGATGACCTGGGCTCTGGCTGTCTCCCTGGCGGGGCCGCACGCCGCCGCCGAGCACGCCACCCACCTCGGCCCATGTAGGGGTTGGCCATGCCGTTCATCTGGCCGCTGCGGTCGTACATGCTGCCGGGCACCATTGCCTGGCGAGCGTCGTAGGTGGTCGTGCGCATGAAGTGCTGGCCCGGGTTGATGGTGTTCACCAGCGTGCGCGGCTTGGTGAACTGCAGCACCGGGCGGCCGTCAACGGAGGTGCACCGTCTCAGCCACAGGCCGGCGCGAATCGGTCAATTCCGGCGTAGCTCGCGCCGCACGCGGGTCAAGGTCTTTCTGGACCCGTGTGGAGACGGGTCCAGAACTCCGAACGGGTACGTAACTCTGAACGGGTACGTAACTCTAAACGGGTACGTAGCTCTGAACGGGTACGTAGCCCTGAACGAGTACGTAGCTCTGAGCGGGTACGTAACTCTGAACCGGTACGCAGCTCTGAACGGGTACGTAACTCTGAACTGGTAAGTAGCTCTGGACGGGTACGTCACTCTGAATGGGTGAGCGGGTACGTAACTCCGAGCGGGTACGTAACTATGAGCGGGTACGTAACTCCGAGCGGGTACGCAACCCTGAACGAGTACGCAACTCTGAAGCATATGTGAAGTGCGGCGCTATACCCGTCAGAGAACGCGCGCGTGTTAACCGCCCTGAGGTGTACTTCACCAGCCGCACTGCCTGGTCAGGCGTCAAGGCCTTGTGGGCTCCTGATCCTGCTCCTGAAGTCCACCCACCTGGATCATGGATTCCTTGAAGCTGTTGAGCGTGCCCTCCACCAGCACCTTCTGCTCCTTGTAGAAGGTCAACAGGTGGTTCCACAGCGGCTGCTTGGAGAGCACCTTCGGGTTGCCGATGATAATGATGCCGAACCTGAGAAAAGATTCGCGACGTGCGATGGCTTTCGTCGTAACAGCCCACATGACGAGGACATTTCCGTGTCATCGGTATCAATCTCACTGCAGCAAATAGCTACCTTGGTCAGAAAATGCTGAGCACATATTTCGCCACACCTGACAGCTTACGCAGATACAGCCAGCGGTCCTGTAGTCGAATAGGAGCTCCGGCACGGGGCTGCTCGGGTCCCCCCCCCCCCCCGTGCCACAGTGGCGTCCTGTCGCCGTACGCTGACCAGGGTCACTGGCGTGACGCGTGTCAGCGCCATACTCGTACGCCGCCCCCTTAACGTCACCGAACTGCCTCGTGTCAGGGTCACGTTCACAGGGCCGCCGCTTACAGCGGGGTCACTGACCTGGCACGTGTCAGGGCCACGTTCAGGCGGCGCGGGTCGTTCAGGAAGCCGATGCCCTGGTGCTCGTTGGAGCGCACGCACGACATGATGATCACGTCCTTCTCGCGACCCTAAAACAACACGCAGCTGTTACCACGGCGTGCGTTTGTTCGCACAGCTTCAAATCCACACTCAGAACGGGGTAGAGATCTGGACTTCTGCATGTAGCCAATCCTGAACAAACACAGCAAAACACGCCGGTGAGAATAAAACGCTACCTCCGTGTTGTCACTGTCACGGCGCTAACCCCTGCTGTCGAACACTGGTCTAGTGGACGGGCAGCCGTCAGACACGGCTCCCAGCCCGTTAGACCGGCCCTCACCAGACGAGCCCGACGCGGCATAAAGCCCACACAGGTGACATGATGGAACCAAATAACACACCGCCAATCCTGAGGTCGAGAACCGCCGCCTTCGGCTGAGACGCGAAGCACGTCGGCAGATTATGTCACTGCACATGCACCACAAAGCGGAACAGGCAGGAATCGCGCTACAGGCTGACACCTATTCTATCACATGTGGGACTATGGTAATATCCACAGAAAAACGCCAAGGAATCGCTGACTTACTGACACATCTCGTCGTAAAGATAAAATTGTAGCATTCACAAGCATACAGTCTGACAAACTAAGTGACAGCATTTCATACCATTCCCACCAGATTGCGTCCAGCCAAACGCCTGCAGGCCCGGCCCCAGCAGCGCTCCCGCCAGCCGGCCGCGTCCGCGTGCTCACCTGGAAGGCGTCCACGCTGGCCACCTCCACCTCCTGGTACAGCTTGGCATGCAGCGAGCCCTGGTACTGCATGTTGGTGACCAGGTAGCTGCGCTGTCCCTCGTACGGCGTGATGACGCCGATCTGCTCCGGCTTGAGGCCGGCCTTCAGGAAGCGCGTCACCACCTTCTCGACGTTGGCCGCCTCGGTGCGGTTCAGGTAAGAGGTGCCCGAGCCGGCGATCTCCTCCTGGCCCGACGTCACGAAGAAGAACATGGGCGTGTCCGGCTGCGGCCACGGGAAGTCCACCGCCTTCAGCTTCCGCTCGTCTGCCGGCGGGGGCGCAGAGCGGGGTCACGGCCAGCCGGACGTGTGGACGAGGTGTGTCGCACGAGGCAGACCGGTCTCACGTCGCCGGCCGTGTCAGTGGCGCCGAGGGTGGGGACCTCCCGGACCTCTCCGCCGGCCGGTGGAGAGATCTGGCTTGTACGCGCGGCCGGCGTGTCTCAGCACGGTGTGCGGCACAATCGTCGCTTGCGAGCTACTCCAGCGACGTACACGCAACCAGCGGTGTCAGAACCGCACAAATAACATACCTCGCCTTTATGCTGTTGGATCGACTCGACTCCAAGGGTACCTCGGTGGCGTCCTCTTACGGGAAGCGAGAGCTGCATTTATACTGATCTGACGTCACTTGATGCGGTACCGATGTCATTGCGCGTGTCGGCGAGTAACCAACGAAGCGCGACGTCACAGGAACGCGTCAGACCAGCACCCACAGACTAATCGGTCCCCTGCGCGTGGCCCACGCATAGAAAACGCACAGCCCACCAGCCAGCTTCTCCACCGATAGATGACTCCCGCGGCGCCTCCCCCGCTCCCGGGTGGAGCCAGCCGGTGCCCGCCAGCCGCCACCGCCGCCGGGACACCCGGCCCGGACCCGGCACTGCCCCGTCCCTGGCCCAGCCCGGCCCCACGTCACCCACCGGGCACGACGCCGTTCTGCAGGCTGCCCTCGTAGAAGAAGTCGGAGGGGAAGCGGCTGAGCGCCGGGTGCATACGGTACTGCACCTCCAGGCGGAACGGCCGGATGCCCAGCACCACCAGACGCTCGAACAGCGACTGCGAGAGGCCGGCGCGCGCCGCCTGCTTACACATCACCACCGGCCCCAGCTGGCAGTGGTCTCCCACCAGGATCAGCTGCCGGGAGCCAGACAGACTCACGTCAGGAGCGGGACACACGCATCAGAACCATGACATACACATCAGGAGCGCGACTCAAGCCAACAGCATGCCATACATGCCAGGAGCGGACCACACACGTCAGGCATCGGTTCGGGGCCCGTGACGGGACCGGCCAGTCAGCTGCACGGTCTCCAGAGCGGCGAACCACCCGCACCACAGCCGGGCTTGACGGAGCCCGCACGGCCGCACACTGCATCACTTGGCAGCCCCACATAACGGTCCGGCCATACCGGTTCTATGCAGTATTTCCCCCAGCCTTGGGAGTGACCGCGGCCACGTCTCGCGTGCGACCCACCCACCCACACACGCACACGCGCAAGCGCACGCACACACACACACACACACACACACACACACACACACACACACACACATACACACACGCATACACATACACACGCACGCCCACATACCCACGCACGCACGCACGCACGCACGCACGCACGCACGCACGCACGCACGCACGCACGCACGCACGCACGCACGCACGCACGCACACACACACACACACACACACACACACACACACACACACACACACACACACACACACACACACACACACAAACTCGGCAGCTTCCCCGCACCATCCGCGCTGCTTCTGCGACCTGTCGCCGGCGCCGACCCCGCCGCTAAAGCCCGCCCCGTCACCATCGGCCTCCCCGGGCTCCGGCGGCGGCCCGGCCAACCGAGGCGACGCGCCGGCTGACCTGTTTGGCGCCCAGCACCACCGGCACCATGCACTCGGGCTCCGTGGCCTGCATGCTCTCGTCGATGAGAATGGACTGGAAGCGGAGTCGAGCGAGCCGCGGGTCGCCGGCGCCCACGCACGTGCAGCAGATCACGTCGGCCGCCTCCAGCAGCTCCTGCCGGCCGGCACAGGCGCAGGTCAGGTCAGCGGTCCGACCTATGCCCGCTGTTGGCCACGGAGAGACCCTGTCTCGTCTCTACACGACATCCGCAGTCGCGTCACGGAGGCCTCTTGCGCCATGTTTTCAGCAGCTGATAACATCCAAAACGAGGTTGCGATTATGCTCCTTGCATTATTTCCCTACATGAAAATCGTACCGGAATATGAATATCCTAAGGTCTCGACTCGGAGCACGTATAGACACTTTGTCCAGAGGTGGCGCGCACCTTTTCGGCCGTCTTCTTGAGGATGCGGAAGCGCTTCTCGTCGGCGGCGGACAGCTCGCCAGCCTCGTCCATCAGCTGCTGCAGCTTCAGCAGCTCACCAGAGCTGAAGCAGAACGGCCGGGTGATGGGGCGGATCGGTTCTGGGCGGCGGCAATGGAAGCGTGCGGCGCGAGTCGATCGGGCGGTCGTAGCACACGCACGAGATCATTATCCCAATACACAATAACCACAATTAGCACGACGCGCATTGGCTATGCTGTTGTAGAACCTGACCTGCATTGTAGACATCTTCCCATAAACTCCTCGATAAACCACTTCATCAACCAATATGCAACACAATTATTCTTCCCGAACTCACCAAACGTCCTCGCATGCCTGCATTACCATTCACGCTGACAGCGATGGGACTCTGGTTGTGGCAGCACTGGCACATCCAGACTACTGAGGGAGGGAAGGTCCTGCGGCGACCGGCTCTGTGACCCGCCGCGCGCACGACCGACCGCATGAGCCGGACTGACCTGGGCAGGTTGCGGACCTGGATGTGCAGCGCCAGGTACGACACAGGACTGTCGATGGCCTCGCGCGACTTGGCGCACACGCGCACCACCTTGAGCCCCGTCTGGTGGATCTTCTCCGTCAGCTGGTCCACGGCGATGTTGGACGGCGCGCACACCTGCCGGCGCGCAGCACGCCGCGGTCAGCGGCGACGAAACGGGCGGCGATCCTTTTTGTCAGCAGCGCGACTGCCGATTCGTTGGCAGGCCGGTGCGCAGAACACACAGAGCTGACACAACGTCCGATACACCTCAGGCTCAGCTGGCTCAGCTGATCCAAAACATGACAGGGTACGTCAGGGTGACACGGCGTTTCAACAGACGGCGGTTACTACCGTGACACCCATGCGGGTAGCCTGAAGATACGCGCACCTTATCACGAACAGGACAGATATCTAGACTGCACCGCGGACCAAACTGCGTCGGAGGAGCCCGAGAAAGGGCGCGCCGCCACGGCGGCGGCCGGCACGCACCAGCACGCTGCCGTGGGTCTGCTTGACCAGGTGGTACACGATGGTGGCCGAGGTGACCGTCTTGCCGGTGCCGGGCGGGCCCTGGATCAGTGACAGTGGACGCTGAAGGGCCGACTTGACGGCGAACACCTGCCGGGCGGCGACACAGTGGTAACGTCAGAGTCAGGCCAACACCTGTCGGCCGGCGGCGCAGACGTCAGGTCAGTGGTCGGCGACACAGCAGCCAGGTCAGGGTCGGGCCAACACCTGTCGGCCGGCCACACAGCCGTCAGGTCAGGGGTCGGCGACACAGCAGCCAGGTCAGGGGTCGGCGACACAGCAGCCAGGTCAGGGTCGGGCCAACACCTGTCGGCCGGCGACACAGCCGTCAGGTCAGGATCGGGCACGGTCACCGAGACACACGAACAGCTGGCGTGGCGACAGACCCCCCCCCCCCCCCCCTCCTTCCCACCCCCGCCACACCACACTCGAGCGACGGCCATGTGTGAGGCAGTGTCGCGGCGACAGACGCCGGGCTCGTGCGATGACGGTCCCAGCGTACATCCGCTGCCCTCTGTGGTCCGGTGCTCCTGGCCCCACTGGCTCGCCGAGGCCCAAACGACCGTCTCACACATGGCACGACAGAACGCGCTCGCTCTCCATCGACGCGCGGTGCCGACATCCACGTGGCGCGCCGTCAAACAGGATCTCAAGGTTCCCACTTCGCTTCAAAGAAGGCGCCACCATTGTGACGAAACAGGTCTGATGTAAGTGGAAATCGATGCAAATCCATGACACACGGCATGCAGATTTAACCACGTACAAACTATGCAACAATGCAAACTCCGGACTGGACGGCGACCTGGAAACGATGCGCTACAACAGGATCCGAACTATTTCAGCTTGACATGGACCAACCCGCCTTCAGCTGCGCCCGTGTGGGGTTGATTTCGCCAGACAGGGTTCGGGCTCAAAACCGGCTAGACCTGCCATCACGGCTGTAAACTGGAAACAGATGACGCCAACAGGTTCCCACCTGGGCTCAACGGACACCAGCACGGTTGTCACATGGAATCCACTGTCGCCGACACGGTTCCCACACGGGATCAACTGACACACACACACAGTTGTATACTGGAGCCAGCTGGCCGTCATACGGTCCTGAGCTGACCCCAGTCGACCTGAGCGCGGCACTAACCTGGGACCGGTTCAGCTCGGGCAGGTTGGGCGCCGAGAAGTGTTTGGGCAGGTGGCAGCGGAAGAGGACCTCGTCGATCTCGTGGCCCAACAGCCGGTGGTAGATGTAAGACGACACCGACTGGTCGTCCACGGCGAACTTCTTCAGCGCCGCCTGCATTCTGTGGCACAGAGGGTGACGCGGCTGTCGGCCACTCCTGCATGGCGGCTTACAGTCGGCCAGCGCCGGGGTTCAAACGCGGTCACTCGTCCCCAGACGCATACCGGCAGCCCTGATGTTGAGTGTAACACTGGCCTCGTGCTGCAAGCTGCTGTTGCGACAGTACGAAATCACGAAGAAAATATATCAGACCTGGGAACAGCCAAGTTAACAACAATCCGTCGTGATACGCTGCGTGTGGATACTCGGTTTGGACACGTTCACTGTCACCACAGGGCGGATGGCGACTAAGGACGGTCGGTAGCGGACCCCACGCACAGGGACGCACGGGGAGCGGACCCCACACGCAGGGACGCATGGGGAGCGTAGCCCGCGCACAGGGACGCACAGGGAGCTAACCCTGCGCACAGGGACGTCCAGGGGGCGGACCCCACGCACAGGGACGCACAGGGGGCGGACCCCACGCACAGGGACGTCCAGGGGGCGGACCCCACGCACAGGGATGCACAGGGAGCGGATCCGACGCGGGAGGACGCACAGGGGCCGCGGCTCACCTGTCGAACGAGGTGGACTTCCAGACGAAGTCGACCACGAAGTTGTGTGTGCACTCCAGCGGGATGCCCGAGTTGTTCTTGAGCTCGATGCCGACCTCGTCGCCGTGGTTGTCGGACACCTTGATGACGTGGCCGACGCCCGACCAGGGCTTGTGCATCTCCCCCAGGTAGCGGATGCGCAGCTCGTCGCCGTGCATCAGACGCATGTCTGCCGTCACGGACGCGCCGTCGGCCACGGGTCAAGGCGCGCAGCGCCACACGCGCAGCGCAGCACGCAGCGCCAGCGCTCGTGCCACCGCATGAGTCAATTGGACGATAAGGCAACATGTACAGGTACACATGGACGATAAGGTGTATGGATAATTATGGACGATAGTGTACCAATAATCCATTGTGTTTCAGAGTTTAATGCCAGATGAAAAGCCCACAAGTTTTTTCATAACTGTCACGTGTGCTACGGTGACCGACAAGAGAAGCATATTGTTTAAATCAAAAGGCAGTGTTATCTGTATCCTGCCAAAAAATACAAAAGCCCTACAAAGCTGGAATACAAAGAGACTGATGCAACTGCTCTAAATTTAGTGGTTGCTGCATGCACTGTATCTTTCAAAGCACAATAAAAATTGTGGCGTGTCCTGGGAGCAACATGAGTGCTCCCAATCCCCAATTTGGCCAGGGCAGAGCCACTGACCTCCATCAGTCTTGGCCATGCTGAAGTAGGCGATGGTCTTCTTGTTGAGCCCCTGGTCCCAGCGCACCTCGATGTTATCCTGCGTCTGCGACTCCTTCAGCTTCTTGTCATAGTCTGCTTCCAGCTTCACCAGCGGGCCAAAGATGTTCTGGTACTGGTAGCCGTCCTCGTATCTGCAGTACGTTGGCGGAGGGTTCACAGCACAGTACACACATGTTGACTGACGTTCATTCAACACCAGACAAAAATTATTAGAAACTCTTGCCTGCAATGGTGTACATCAAACTGGGTATGATCATAAAGAGAGGCTTATTCCCACGGCATCTCGCTCCACAGATCATATGTATGCTCCCAAATCAACATGGAGGTTTTTCGTTGACATGATGCGCTTTCGGACCGATCTATGGACTATCAGCTTGTATGACTTAGTGATACCTGAGCAGGACTTGGTTGGGATCCTCGTCCACACCCGGCTTCTCCAAGTCCTGGAAGGTGGCGTCCACATTGTCCTTCCACAGCTCCTCCAGCTTGTTGATCTGCTGGGCGGAGATCTGGCGGGCGCGCAGCTGCTCCTGCTCCGAGGGCACCTTCACAAGCCACGAGAGGAAGCTCCGGTCCAGGATCAGTGGCTTCCACTGTTCCGGATCCCTGTGACAGGCGAAGCGGTCACCGCAATGCAGCTAATCGCTCCATGCCAAGTGGCTTATCATACACTCTCGATGTATGTCAGAAATTACGAGGCCCACGAATGGGTAACGCAGCCAGGCAGTTGTGAAACACGAAGTACGTAGCGAGTCTCAGCTAAGCCAATAAGACAAAGCCAGTACGCTTCTGAGTTCGCGTGAGCCCATGCAAACCAGTCAGCGACATCCGGTACCACCAGTGGAAGTCATCCGATTATCGGCAGTTTTCGGATGAGGTGACTTTGGAGGGCTGAAAGACCCATCAGCCACACGTGCATGGGCCACTGGCGCGAGCTCGCCGCCGCTGGACCGCTTCCGTGGCCTGATGGCACACGAAGGTTCGGCTACCATCGCCAGGCCCCGCTCAGCGCTAGACAAGACGATATCTGTGGCCAGCCTCCAGCCCACAGCCTGCTGGCCCTGCGCCGGGCAGTGGCCGACGGCGGCAGCGGCGGTCCGACCTACCAGTTGACGTCGCGGAGGGCTGTCTGCGCGGCGCACGGCTGCCGACACAGCAGCACCACCACCGAGTTGGCCTTGGCCGGGATGAAGCCCATCACGAACACGTTCCGCACGCCGCACGAGTAGCACTCGAGCACCGTCTCGCCCAGCGGGCCGTTCCTGTGCAGGGTCACCTCCTGCGGACGGACAGACGGATGGACGGACGGACGGTCAGGCGCCGGCGCAGGGGAGGCACTGGCCCCTCGGGCAGGCTCCTTCAGTTGGGGCATCACTGGACGCGGGCCACGCGCCGGGCGACCGGCGAATTATGCTTCTTTTGGACACAAGAGTTAAAAGCATAGACTGTGCACTTAGCCTGACTGAACATGTCAAACGGCCACTGGAGCAATAATTACAAAACAGCAAACACTGACCTCGTGGCACGAGCTCATCGATCACGGTCACGCCACACACGGATCGGAAATCCGCCCAGTCGACCACAATAATTCATACACAAACGGGAGCGACGCAAGTGAAATACCGGTCTGGTACCGATGGCTAACACATGTCAAACGCCATCGCCAGCTAAAACGACTGCTCACCTTCAACCTTTCTGTAAGAAACATCTCACCTGGAAGACAGTGGAGCATTGCCAGCACAGTCACCGGCGGGAGGCACCCAGACCCCGACGCATCTCACCCCGCGCAGCAGCGAGCGCGCGCCGCCGGCCGTTCGGAGTCTCACCTTGTGCTTGGCCCGCACCAGATGGTTGACGATGTGCGAGCCGGACGTGTTGCCGCGACCGTTGCAGAACCAGCGTTTGCAGATGTTGCACATGACCACGCAGCCGGGGTCGTGGATGCCGCAGTACTTGCACGCGTGCGCCGGCAGCTCCTGTGCGACGACGAGCGGAGCGGTCACGACAGACCAATTAAGGGAACGACTTATAAACGAGCGATAACCGAAGCTAGCGCTCTCAAAACTCAACGCGAATACGTACCATCACCCACGGGTAATGACCAAATGCTACACTTTATCAAACTGTTGCTGATAAGGATATCTGTATTTTTATCGTCGCTGATTAGGATTATCTGTACTCCTAGGCATCCAAAGAGAGCATTCACGCCGGTACGCACAAACGCACGCACACACGCAAACACGCACCCACACCCACACCTGTGTGCACATGCACTCACATGTGCGTGTGTCACGGGCTATAGACCGCTAAGACTGGCATACTAACCATCATCTAATGAAATGGTAACAGGCACCCGGCTAATCTTGACCTTTCTCCCCATAAAATAAAACAGACCTTGATGTCAAAAACAGTACTCTCAGCTGTGGCAAAATCATCACATGTCTGCACTCTAACTTTGATTTGTTTCCTCACCTGCCTATTTTGCATGTGGTGGAAAGTCATAAAAAAACACCACCCTCCAGTTGACCTCAGCTTAGAGCTCTGCCTACCAATCACTGTAAACTGTGCTTTGCATCTCCCTGTCTTTCTCCCAAATGCACTACATGGAAAAGGTCAGCACCACATCTGATAGCACAGTCCAGACAGTTCACCCATAGTTCTGGAAATTCAGAGAAGTGGGAGGGAGCATTTACCACAAAAAGCAGCTTGCTGCTGCACAGCTACAATGGCTGATGAGTGAAATATGACTGTCATTCAGTGGTAACTGGCTTTCACAAACAGTACAAACAGATGCATACATGTACATGATAGATGATAACTGTCAACTAAAGCCCAATGACAATCTTGAAGACCCTGAGCTCATGCTGCCCTTGCCCAAGCTAAAGCCAACCTTATTGTAGAAACCATCTTCATCTTCCTCTTCAAACTGGAGCTCCCCAAGCTGTGATGTCACTTGACTGATGTCTCCATTCAGGCTTTGGCCATTCAACTGCAACGTCACAATAATAAAGAATATATGTGACAACACCCTGAGATGCATCACCAATGCAGGGCATGGCTCAGAACTTGCAGAACACTGATATTTTAAGAATCTGTCATTAACCAATCCAGTTGCTAAGACTTAATCTTAACTGCATATGTTAAGTTTATCAAGCATTAGTAGGAGCAAAAGGATAGCACAACTGAATGAAGACATGCCAAATTTTGTTCTTGCATTAAGCCTTGAGGTTTTGCATTTAAATTAGACAGGACATACAATGCAGCACTTACATATCTATGATAAGCTTTTGTTGACAGCAAAAAATGTGGACAACCCATTTGGGCATTGGAATAACATGGATTATCTTTTCCTTAGGTAGGCATTTGTTAGAGTCACACACATACAAGCCTGCCCACATAAATGAGAGAGTGGGGATTATTTAGATTTTTATCAACTTCTGTCTTGAAGGGATCCTCAGACACAACTTTATGCCACTGCATATATGGCCCTAAAAAGGTGTGATTGTGTGTTTTCAGGGCGTTTCGGCATCGGGGCCATTTTGCGCCCTAAAAAGGTTTTAAGGAATGCATGGAACTGGTTCCTTGCACTCCAGTTGTAGCATGCATAACATACTGGCATGTGTTGCTAACCATTACATGTAAAAACTGCCAGCTTCACATGAAAGGTGCATTAAATTTCTATGGCAACCAAATTTTGGATTTTGTTGCAAACATTGCTTTTGATGTCTCCTCCACATAAGTTTCCCAAAGGTACCACGCAAACAACTTCCAATGAAGTGGTTGATCACCAAAAAAACTGGAACAAGCATGACATGCCATGGTGCCATTGCTAAAAGATTCTCCAGGCATCTGCATTATGTGCCACAGCTAAGTGATTTTGGGAGCAGCAGTAGCTCATGATTTACACACCCAACCTTTTAAAACTCAAGCTCTGATTAGTTTCATCAGCAACCTTAGCCTGTTGCCTACATTGATCAGTAAGGGGATTTGGCTTACCAAAACAGCTTTAAGTAATGTCAACCATGCTAACCAGTTATCTGCACTGCATACTATTCACCCACCACAGGCCGAAGGGCTGAACAAAAGCATGGCTCGGGCCTACCAAAACCATATTTATCTAATATTAACCTTAAGAAAACATATTTTAATTTAGGAGAGTAGTTTTAAATCATAACAAATATTGCACACTTGAAATAAGACCTCTTGTGTACTTTCTTGCAGTCTCTACCTAAAAATGGCAGTCTGCAATATATTTATTCACTGCACTAGGCATCTACATAATATTTGTGCTCTAAACCCCATGCTTGCATGCCCCAAACTTAAGCCAGGACAATACCCTGAACTTTCAAAGTACCTTTGCAAGAATCATATGATTGAGACATTCTTGCCCACAATTACCCTCAAAAGATCAAAATTCCCTGAAACATTAACTCTTTATGTAATGAAAGTAGTTGAGAGCTCAAGCCTAGCCCTGAGCACTTAGACTGAATGACATATGTGCAGTGCAGTTTTTGCTGTGATATTGCTGCCATCATTATATTATGGACCATACTGAAACCAGCACTAGTGCACCCATAATGCCAGTGAATTTAAGCAGACTGATGCTTTTCAGAATTATTATGATGGAAGCCCCTGCCACAGCACAGTAAGAGTGCAACACAAATTACTAGGTAATAACCAGACACATGATTAGACCCCCTCAGACAATTTTTTGAGGACCCCATTTTTTGAAGCATCTCCTAGGTACCTAGCAATTAAGTGATCAAGACAGAGATAAAAATAAGTGGGTTTCTTACCTGTGAGGCCAAGTCAATCTGGGAAGCAAGAGTTTGACTCTGGGATGGCACTGTGAAATCTGTGAAGTCAAATTCTGAACCCTGTGTATCTGCTCCCAGCATGTCATTTTCATCAGGTTCCAGGAAACTCAATGGTTGAGAGCTTCCATTGAACGTATCTTCGCTCATTGTTGCTGATGGAGTGCAGCCTACTCGAAGCAGCGCAGCTCAGGTCGTATCAGCCCCTTAGTAGACCGAAACAATAGGTATTGAGCACCACCGGCTGTTCCACTTTCATACTGCACCCTACGCAGGGCAACTTTCAGATTGTTGCGGAAACAGCCCAAATGCTGAACACCCGCTTAGGGCGCAGAAACCAACGGGTCACGGCCCCGCAGCCACCCAAAGCCCGACCCAGATCACAAAAGATGGTATTGCGCGTAGTGCGACGCAAATCATACGTTCGCCACGTTCGCCAGCCTCGTAAGGCAACGGGACTAACAAAAAGACTGCCAAAAATTACATGCTTCTTCGTTCTCGAGGCCTGTGGATGCGTGGTCAGCGTGTGTTATCTATTGCGAGCACTAAAATTAAAACAATAGTTCATTTTAAGGTACAGAAGACTCCAGCTTCACGAAGCACTGCAATTTATCTGTTAAGGACGTCTTCATCTGACTGAAGCTTGAAACCATTACAAGGACTTATAGCGACTTCACGCTCTCAATCAAGAAATCTTCAAATCCTCTTTCCTCTTTCAAAAACATTTGAAAGCCCATCCGGCCGCATTGAGTTACCTGACATTTAAGACATCTGTGCCGAGGTCATTCCCTTCGCTGGGGAAAGAAGCAATCGTCAGAAGTTGTGGCTGCTTGGGTACCACGTCCTACCAAACGAAGACAAATGCACGTCAAGCCGTCCCAAAAAGCCTCTTTTCCCAGGGGACAGGGGCGTATGTAGGGAGTGAGGGGCAGATAGACTCATGTGCCGCACCCTTCCCTTGGGAGTCGCCGACCAAGGCTTGGTTGCAGAGTCCGAAGGAACCGAGGGTTGACCAGGGGTCGTTTTCAGGGATCCGGGACTAAAGCTTGGACCTTAGCGCCCATCAGTTAATGTTACGTGTCGGTGTGTGCCCTTTAGGACCCATTTTCCACGCAAGGACACGGTCGGAGAGCACGATTTTCTTCGGTCGTGGCCCATGAAACAGTGAGTGGTCCCTGCCTTGTTCAGGGGCCCAAAGTGCTTTACAAGAGATCCTATATTGACGACGTTCTAGGCACATTTTCTGAACAAGGACAGTACCGCAGACGACAGAAGGTCTTCTGACCATGAAGCAATGAAATGGAAGTTTCCTCTGACCATGAAATTAAATGTTAGAAATTATGACGAAAGAGGGCATAGTGAAACGATGGAATGGTCCTGCGTCAGCCAGTGGTCTCAGTACCAAGAGAGTCCCCCGCCCCACTTCACCTGAGAGCATGACTAGTGGAACCGGAGCACGTGTGTCAGTTATTGAAGAACCTACGACGGTGAGAGACTCATTTACATCGGTGAGGGCCTATGCGTCGATCCAGGCCCGACTGCCGTGGTCAGAGGGTCTCCCACATCAGTAAGGAAGCCGATGCACGATATAACCCTCTGAAGATCTCCGGATCGAACAGGGGGCCCTGTCCCGTACCGGCAGAATGGCAGCCGTTGGGTACGCGGCATGGGACAGAAGAGTAGTTTAGCCCCAGACTGGGTAAGGCCCCGTGATGTTCTACCCGCGCAGCTCATTGACCGAGAAAGGCGCGGGGTCTCCTTAGTGTGCAAAAGGGTGGCCTGAAATGAGGTAAAAATTAGGTCAAGAAGAGATGGTCAACCCTCGTTTGTTCAAGGGCCCTAGGAGGACGTTTGCTTCCTTAGGATGGACATGGGTAGTCTAAAGACGGTCATTGTTTTTCAGAATCGACGAGTTGAGCTAATAACATGAAAGTCCCGAGCCTGCGCGGTCGCAATATTTGGGAGTAAGAATACCGGTGCCCGGTGTTGAAATTTTCGTCAAACCGAGCAGCGTTGACCGCTGCACCTAACACGAGGCGGTTGGGATCGGGCGCGTGAAAGCGACCATGTGCCGTGAAATCCTGTTTCCAAAAGTCTTTCAAAATAAATTGCTAGGTTTAAAAAATGTGGCTTAAGTGTTTTCTCAGCCTGTGGAGTTACATGGAAGTTTTTTATTTGAAACAAACAGCAACACGAAATAAAGAGATCCCAGGATTCCAGCAATTCGCAGCGCTGCAAATGTTATTCCCGCTTCCATTACGAATTGATGGTGGCGTTCCCATTATCAGTCTAAGAATCACACAGGTGGAATAAACGCATCGGATTTCCTTCTAAACGTATCGAATTGATGCATAACATAAAGGGTCCAAAGGTATTTCATTCAAATGCGGGATCATTTTCGTCCTCCTGTTGGCCGCCATCTGGTGTTAGCCTCAAGGCCCAAGCTGCACGAATCGTGGAGACTGCAACGACGGACGTCAGTCCTTTTTTCTAAGGCGTGCAAGCGCACCGTCAAAACCGTGTCATGCAATCCTTCACTTATCGATCCAGACTGAAGGATGAACATCCAGGAGAAGATGGGTTGACCATGTTAATATATTTTCTTTGCCTCATTTCAAGCCACAATGTTCAGTCCGCGGGGCACTCAACATCTCTGCGGAGCTCCGAAGCATTATAGCAAAGCGCTTGAGCGCCATCGATTCAGAAAGAAACCAGTGTTAAATAAATAACGCCGGCGGTTTATCTGATGCAGTTAGTTGACATCTGCTTTTTCTGTTTGCTTACTTCAAAATGCAGACAGAATTGCATCCCTGGTGACTTCAGCCACCAGCTTCGGTAAAAAATGCAGAATACATGCAACATAAAGAAAATCGTTCCCCTCGAAATAAAATGGGGAAGTCCGGTGATTTTTGTTTTGTGACGGGGTCGCGAAGGGGGATTTCACCTACATGAGGCCTTTGGTCAGTCATATGCTCTCCTGCGTTGCTGCGCCCCTTCCCTAGGGCGTCCATAAATTACGTTACGCATGGGAGAGCCGAACGTGCTTTTGCGGGGCATCACATAATCACAACAAGGGAGGGAGGGGGTGTTTTGGACAGCGCAACCTTACACTCAAGTGTGGCTGCACATCACGCCAAAATACTAAAAGAAATTTAAACTTCAAGTCCAAGTATTTTGCATTTCTTCTTATGACAAGAAACACGCTCGTAACTTGTTTCAAATACCTAACTGAACAAGGGTCCAGGCAGGCCGCCAGTGTTGTAACTGAAGTGGCGCTAGTTTCACGTTCGGTCTCACTTGCAGAGATATTACAAGCCGTTTTTAAACGCTGTCGTATTTTGTGCATTGCACAACGGGAGCTCATGCAGATTGCATAATGCGAAACGATGGGGTCATAAAAAGCAAAAAAAGTACGCTCGGTCAGTCTCGCAATGGCCGACTGCAACTAACTTAAAATGTTGTTATGCACTGCGCACCTCACGCTAACAGTCCGCCCGGGTGCAACAGTCTGCAGTACATGGTTCACATCAAACAAATATGTACCGGCAGCCAGTCTGGATTTCTGGGTAACATGCGATCGCAGTAAAGCAGTGCTATAAAGCAGACTTGGCCCCACTCGGGCAACCGGTGACAAACATTGTTAAATGACGCTATACTTCGTGAACCACGCGACGCCAGGAGACCGACATCGAAGAATACAACGTGTGTGGGCCAAAAAAGCAATTGTACGCCGCCAGCCGGGAGCGACTCACGCTACAGCCGATTACACTAAACATGTGCGATCAAACTTGCTCTGTAAGACTTGCAGAGACCGATTATAACTATTTGCAGATAGCTGCCATACGCTACGCGCCACGTGCCGGCAAGCCTTCCGCAATGACGAATGCGCTATAACAGCGACGTAGCAAGAGGCTAAATAAATAAATAAATAAATGGATAAATAAATAAAATATGTGCCGGCAGCACGTCCCGAGTTTCGGGTGTCCTGCAATCACACTAAAACGGTGCTATAGGATACCCCCAGTTGCACTCGCAGAAACCGACCGAGGACTGCTTTTAAACGATGGCGTACATTTGTTTAGTGCCTTGCGACGACACTATAACGGCGCCGTAGAATATAGTTGATCACACTCGCAGAGACTGATTATAGCCATTTCAAAACCCTGCAGAACCCTGTGCACCGTATGGGAAGAGGACACCGACTTTTAGGAATATGACGTGAGTAGGCCATAATAAGAACGCAGATGCCACAAGCCGCGCCCAATTTTCGGGCATCGCCTGAAAACATTTAATGTGTACGATTTGATCGTTCATATTAAATGTTGCGCTCGGTCAGCCTCGCAGATATCGATCCTAACCAATTTTTAAAGGCTAATGGAGACCACACCCCACACGCCGGAAGGCCATACGCATTTGTCAATGCGTGTTACACTAACACGGAGAAATACGCAGCAACGTGCCATGTGAAATGCATATGCGCATGTGGCCGGGCCGCACTTTTTGGGTATCTGAAGACAACACCAAAGCAAGACTACCTTCCACGCTTGGTCTTGCTCGCAAAGACAGATTAAACGCATTTTTAGGCGCTGCTGCAATTTTTACACCACGTGACGTCAGGCTGCCGGCATTGGATGATGTAAGTTGAGAGCCACATATGAAATAAAAAGATAACGGCAGCCGCGCCCGATTTTCGGGTATCGCTCGATTATATAAAGTGTGCGCGACAAACAGGCTGGGTTAGACCCGTACAGAGTGATAATATATGTTTTGACGATGCAGTAAACTGTGCCCCAAGCACCAAAAGCCTCCCGCCCTGAAAAATACCTAGCGAGGGAGTCATATAAACATATATGCCACTTGTGACCAAGCTGAGCTAGCCAGGAACATATTGCCATCTACCACTTCCTTCCCAAATTTATACGAATTCCTTTAAGCGTACTCATTTTTTGTGAGAAGGTAAAGTACAGGAACCAAAAATTTAGCTAGGTTATTAGACGTGATACCACAAGGGACGAACATGGACTGAAGAGGAACGATGGCTTTGTGAATCGTCGGCAAACCATGTAGAAAACTGGGCGTGCTTCCAGAGATGGGTGTTCATACGGCAATGGCAACCGCTAGCATACCTAGAAACTTCAATTCGGACAAAAACCTATTGACTTGATCCTTTATCTGTCGGATGGTTTTGAAGATGAGGTCGATCACTTAAGTTGAATTTTAAACATTTGCCATTGCCTTTTTTCTACACATGAAAAGACGATCCAGAAACATTACACCTTTACCCATATCTAGCTTTGACATGGCAATGCTCTTGTCAGACGCGAACTGTCTCATCTGAAGAGGGAGGTCACGAAGAAAAAAGATCTGATGATTTTTTTTTAAAAGAGTGA